AGGAGGAGGAGAGATGATCAGCACGGCCCACTTTACATCGGTGAAGCACAGGTAGAGAGGGTGAAAACATTTAAATTCCTTGGCACCTACATCAGTGAGGACCTCTCCTGGTCTCACAACACCCAGCACATTGTCAGTAAGTCTCAACAACGGCTGTACTTTCTAAGAAAGCTGAGGAAATTTGGTCTGTCCACCAAACTTAGGGTTGCCAACCGTTCCGTATAATACGGAATCGTTCCGTATTTGACACATAAAAGGCTTGTTCCGTATTGAACTGATACGGAACGCACTTTGTTCCGTATTTTTGAGAATCAATTCAGTGCAAATCCATGACAGACGCATAGCTTCTAATATATAAGTCAGACAGACTATGATGAATGAACGAAGACCCGCTGCTATAATGGCAAATTCGGGGACTTGGCGCCACCTTGACGGGCTCTGACGTGTAATGACGTAGAGTTGGCTCATTGGTCGTACGTCAGAGGCGCCTGCGCCATTGGATGTGCAGTTGCCGCAGCGCAGCCTGAGCGAGCCAGACGCTCAATGTGCAAGCTGTGCAGCTGCAAATGCATTTTACAGGCTTCAGTAAATCTAGTAAAATGTGTTTCCGAAGACATTTGTAGGCTATGATAAGAAAAACTACTAACATTTAAAAAAAAAAAAAAAATTTGCACCGGAAAGAACATTCTAGAAGTCTAATTCTATTGAATAAGTTCGCACAAGGCTACAGAAAACTGTTGTGTTTATTTTTCTTGAAATGCAGTCTAAGCCGATGAGTTTCGAATGTTATATGTTGTATTTGTTTAAGTTAAAAATAAAACGTATTATAATCTAACACATACATGGTTCATTTTTGGCAAAATGATCATGATAGCCTTTATATATCTGTGTGGTTTAGTCTTGTATATTGATTAAGCCTACTTTGCTATTCTATAAATATATAGGCCTAATAAGTTGCATTATAATATGATATAAAATGTATGAATCTCAGGGGGCATGTCACTACCACATACATACACCCCCCCCCCCCCCCGTTCCTTATTTCCATTTCAGAAAGTTGGCAACCCTGACCAAACTCCTTAGTAATTTCTATAGATGTACAGGAGAGCATCCGGACTAATTCCATCACAGTGTGGTTTGGAAACTACACAGTACAGGAAAGGAAAGCTCTCAAGCGTGTGATTAAAACTGCACAATACATCTGTGGAACAGTTTTTCCATCACTTCAGGATATTTACAAAACCCGGGTAACTAAGAGGGCACATAACATTATCAGAGACACTACACACCCTCAGCATATACTGTTCACATTGTTACCTTCTGGCAGACGCTATAGGAGCATGAAAGCCAGAACATCCAGACTTAAAAACAGTTTTTATCCACACGCCATCAGGATGTTGAATGACTCAGTCCATTCACAACTTCCTGCTAGGACTTATTCACTGTTTGCACTACACTGTGAATGTTTGCATTGTTCAATGTATATGCTTTTTATGATGCTTTTAATGTCTCTCTGCCGAATGCAATTCTACACTTGCATCTTTTAAATATATTGTGTGTATATTGTGTACATTTTATTCTGTGGGAAACTTTTTGCAACCTAAGAATTTCATTGCATGGTGTAAATGTGTGCATATGACAAATAAACATCTTGAATCTTGAATGTTAGACACCGTTCAGATCGGCGCTTGCGCTGCAAAAGGCCTTGATGATGGATGACAAAGACTCCCCTTCCTTCATTTTTAAAGCCAAAAGTCTGCTTGACCGCTCGTTATAATAATAGTAGTTGACTCTAGGTCTATGAATTATAAATTCTGCAATATGTTGCGTAGCTGAGTTATATTCTTTTTTCAGTGCTGTCAGCTGTTTCTTTTTAAATTCACAATATGCAGATTTTCTATTAGAGAGATCCGAGTTTGTAAATCAGATAGTCTTTTTCCTAGCCGAATAGAGACGCGATGAAAAGGAAATAGCATTGCCCCGTAGAAAACATTTAGTTGCTTCCCACAGGGATTATGGATTAGAAGCAGAATCCTTATTACGAGGAATAAAGTCAGCAAGATTAGAATTAAGCTGTAAAATAACTGTCACAAGTCACTGTTTTTCAAGAGAGCATTGTTAAATCTCCAACGCCTAGTCTTAGAATTCACTCTATCCCCTATAAGAAGTGTATACAGTATTGCACCACGGTCAGATATAAGAATAGGCAATATCTAAGCTATTTAAAGAGATGCTTCCAGCGGTCATAGATGCTCTTCTTCATATCATTAATTCATCTTTGTCATTAGGATACGTACCAAAAACTTTTAAGCTGGCTATGATTAAACCGCTTGTTAAAAAAAACGCAACTTGATCCTACAGAATTAGTCAATTACACGCCAATCTCGCATCTACCTTTTCTGTCAGAGATTCTAGTAAAGGCAGTATCTTCACAACTATGTTCCTTTTTAGAAAGAAATGGTATCTGCAAGGATTTTCAGTCAGGATTTAGACCGTACCATAGTACTGAGACAGTTCTCATTAGAGTCACAAATTATTTGCTCTTATCAAGTGATCGTGGTTGTATCTCCCTATTGGTGTTACTCGATCTTAGTGCTGCATTTGATACTATTGACCACAACATTCTTTTAATTAGACTTGAATGTTGGCATTAATGGAATTGCATTAGCATGGTTTAAATCATAGTTATCTGACCGTTATCAGTTTGTAACAGTAGATTAAGAGATATTTCCTCACGCCCTGACGAAACTTACCAATTCACAAAATTAACGGAATGCATAGCTGATGACTAGTAATTTCCTACTACTTAATTCTGAAAAAACAGAGATCCTAATTATTGGACAAAAAAACTTCCTCACATACAAACCTAGAATACTTTATAACACTTGATGGCTGCTCTGTAAAGTCGTCGTCGTCGGTAAGGAACCTGGGTGTGCTCTTTGATACCAATCTTTCATTTGAAAGTCATGTGTCTAGCATCTGTAAAACTGCAGTTTTCCATCTTAAAAATATATCTAAATTACGTGATATGCTCTCAATGACAAATGCGGAACAGTTAGTTCATGACATCAAGGCTAGATTATTGTAATGCTCTACTGGGTGGTTGCCCTGCACGCTTAATAAACAAACTACAGCTGGTCCAAAACGGAGCAGCTCGAGTTCTTACCAGAACCAGGAAGTATGACCATATTATCCCAGTTCTGTCAACATTACATTGGCTCCCTATTAAACATTGTATACATTTTTAAATATTGCTGATTACTTACAAAGCACTAAATGGTTTAGCTCCCCAGTACTTGAGCGAGCTCGTAATGCATTATAGTCCGTCACGTCTATTGCGATCTCAAAATTCTGGCCAGTTGATAATACTTAGAATATCAAAATCGACTGCTGGCGGTAGATCCTTTTCCTATTTAGCACCAAAACTTTGGAACAGTCTTCCTAACATTGTCCAGGAAGCAGACTCTGTCAGTTCAAATCTAGACTAAAAACACATCTCTTTGACCTTGCATACACATAACACATTATAGACTTCTATAATTCAATGTTAGGCTGCATAGATTAGGTCAGCTGGAACCGGGAACACTTCCATTAAATCTTGATGTACTTGTTACATCTTAAGAAGGATGGCGTCAACGCTAATATTAGTCTCTCTGTTTATCCCGAGGTTTACTGCAGTCCACCGGATCCAGGCCATATCCAGATCTGATGAAGGACCTGCACCTTGACACGATGACAACGCCGTCAGGAAGTGTCAACTAGACCATCCCCTGTGAAGGCCTCCCTCCCTTTACCTCTGAACAGATAAAACGTTGTCAGGATAATTCCGGTTCACGTGGCTACGCGGAAGCGATAAAAAATTCTGTATTATACATTTTTCAAGGCTTGTACCTTGGAACCTATTCCAGGGTTTGCGTTTTCGAGCCACCAGGCACTGTTTTGTGCAAATGAGCGGCCGGATCGCATTAAGGGTTTTAGAACGTTGTCGTGTAAGCGGCCCCTAAGTTAATAACTAATGATCGTTGCGACGGAAGTGAATCAATCAAAACTAACTTTAGCTGGACAATAACTTTATTCTAGAGCTGCTGTAAAGCCAAAACAATCTCTGTTACTTTAATTTCCTATTTTCACTGTAAAGCTGCTTTGAAACGGCCCATATTGTTAAAAGCGCTATATAAATGAAGGTGACTTGACTTGACTATTTCTCATTAACTATATGATTTTATATATTTTATTAAATGTTTTAATATAAATCATAATTTATATGTATTATATAAATTTGTGAAATCTGACATTCTCCTAATTACATGTACAACATTATCATATTTTTTATGAACACATGTGGGATACATTATGATTATTGTGTAGAAGTCATTATTGTTTTTATTTAAACTTTGCAGAAAATCCTATGAAAGGCCATTTAATGGCCGGTCCCAAATACCAAATACAATGTGACAACATGCCCTGCTATCTATCATGTGATCATGTGTGTTTGTTTCCTAGGGTAATAACAGTGTAAATGTTACAAAGCATTTCTGTAGCCAATGTGTAATGTAAGTTCCCATAGAGAAATTACATTTAAAAAATGAACCTACGATGAGAAATATTCTCTGCTGTAAAAAGCTTTCCACAGTCTCCCCTATACATAAAAACACAAGTCTAAACACCATGGCAAAATATTTAGGTAACATTTTACAATAAGGTTTATTAGTTAAAATTAGTTAATGTCTTAACTAACATGAACTAACCATGAGCATTTGTCATTGTATTTGTTAATCTTTGTTAACATAAGTTAATAAAAAAACAGCTGTTAATTGTTAGTTAGCAGTGCATTAACTAATGTTAACACGATTTTAATAAAGTATTAGTAAATGTTGAAATTAACATTAACAAAGATCAACAAATGCTGTATACGTGCATTTCATTATTAGTTCATGTTAACTAATGTAGTAACTAATAATGTAGTAACTAACATGTTAACTAAAGTTCACTAACAAACCTTATTGTGTTACCAATATCTAGATAGCCTATCTTAATTCAGAGAACATATTTTATTCCAGAAGTTCAGCATTCATGATAATTTAAGTGATCTTTACATTTGTCATGATTTTGTCCAAAAAAAAAAAAAAAGTAGCAAAAACATAATTGAGTAAAACAAACATCAACGTAACAAAAGTTCAGCCTTGTTAATATGGGTGACCCTGGTGTCTCAAACGTAAGCTTTTGACGTCTCTGCAGTAGATGGAGCGGGAGTATAGATTGTCTTTGGCTTTCCACCTGGGTAGTATGCCCTGTTAAAAAGAGAAAAAAACATCATCAAAAGTTCAAAAAACAGCATTAGAAATATAAAGAATAAAAAATACTATGACAATTTTTCCAGTTTTACAGAATGCCTGTTTATTACGTATAATTCATTACGGGATATAATGTTAATATACCTACTTTATACCTTATACTTTATACTTTATTAAAATCTGCATTTTTAACTTGCAATGTACTATCCACCACAATAATACAGGTGGCAGGTTTATCGTAAGCTGCCTGTTCATAGCACGATCAATACTCATGTATAGGCATTTTCTAAATAGACTATTATATAGACTATTACTGGCCCACAAATGGCCCAGCCTTCCCCAACACGCCTCCCCTCCAGTCTCCACCAGAGGCATGGCCTCATCCTTGGCATGGTCCAGCGGATTGTCTATTGGCGACATTTGTGCAGCGCCGTCCACATTGGCCAGATTATAACCTGAATGTACCTTGTAAGCACAGGTACTATATGTGTAAGCAGGCCATTGACCTCTACGTGAGCTCAACCTGCTAGAACTCTCCATGCGAGTCCCATGTTGTTGGGCTTTACATTATATATATATATATATATATATATATATCTTAACCTTGGCACCCTTAATCCCTTATTCATACGCCCTGGGCCAGGGCCCCAGAATGATTGTCGTTTTGTAGTTCTAAGCACAGCGCGATTGGACTGGGTTCCCATTGCGTCTAGCGATGCAGTATGAGTAAAATGTATCCAAAGGGAACGTACTCAGTTACTAACGTAACCTCAGTTCCCTGAGATAACTGGAACGAGTACTGCGTCACTGGCCATGCTTTCACGCTGCACGACTCAGTCAAATTAACCTGATTCCTTATGGCAGAATGGCAGGCTTTTCTCCCCATAGGTTCGTGCAGCTCCGCTGCTCAGCCATTGATTCGTGCAGTTTTACGGCGTTATTCTATAATCTTCAGGAATCAGAAAAAAAAATTGTTTTCCCATTGCGTCTAGCGACGCAGTACCCGTTCCAGTTATCTCAGGGAACCGAGGTTACTTCAGTAACCAAGTACATTTTTCCTTGCAAAAAAATCCCATACATTTGACAGTATTTTGCAATAAAATTACAGATAATGTGATGTTAAACCATTTACAGTTTTTCCACCGTATATGGTAGGTAACTTAAATTTAACCAGTTAACAAATTTTTCTGGTTACATTTTTTCACAATGTAGAGGATTGTCTTATGTGTGATATTTACCCTTTGTCTTTCGCTTGAGAGGCTCTTTTATAGGCACTGCACTGGAATGCACCACCCAGGATACACAGCCCTGCACCAGCCCAACCTATATAGAGACCAGTACCCAGCTCAAATCTGAAAACAAAGGCAGATAGTTAGGTGTATGTGGCTACTTAACGATATATCTGGAACAAATTTGTATCTGAAAGTGTGCTAAACCTGACAATAGGCCTACTCCGTTTGAGGATGTCCTAATTTGTAAAACACAATGTAGCTACTTGATATATAATGAGTAGTCTGATGATTTATTGGGGAGTCAGATGTGTTTTATAAGGGTTGGAGCTAAACTCTGCAGGACAGTGGCCCTTCAGGAGCGGAATTTGACACCATTACCCTAGAGCAGGGGTGTCCAAACTTGGTTCTGGAGGGCCACTGTCCTGCAGAGTTTACCTCCAACTTGCCTCAACACACCTGCCTAGAAGATTCTACTATGCCAAGTAAGACATTGATTAGCTGGTTCAGGTGAGTTAAATTGGGGTTAGAGCTGAACTCTGCACTACAGTGGCCCTCCAGAAACAGAATTGGACACCCCTGGTTTAGAGGGTCATAAAGGGTCAATTGTAGAAATGCAGAATGTTTTCTGTAAGTGTTTTACGGTTAGAATCAGTGCTTTAAGTGGACCGGTACACACCGGTACTCAGTACCGCCACTTCCAAATATAGCTCTTGAGCGTACCGCCACCTCTTCGTGCGCCCAGAACGTGCTTTTAGCGTACCGGTACGCTCATTTGCACATCTGTTTTAATCCTTTGGCTGCGCTGCCGCTTTTCAGAGCTCCCTTCACAATGCACGCCTCCTAATTCGTCCCACCGAGAGCAGAGACTACATTACCCATACGCCCTTGAGTTTTACAAGTGAAAAGTGCATGCGTCGATTTTGCCGCTGTCAGTGTTAGCTGCTCGGTTAAAATACAAATAGAGCATCACAGTGCGTGCCGTGTAACTGTCTGGTTAAACCCCGCGAAGGTCCGTGAAGACTGAAGATCGTGTAATGACGTAGGGCTAGCTCATTGGTCGCACGTCAGAGGCGCCCGCGCCATTGGATGTGCAGTTGCCGCAGTACAGCCTATGAGCGAGCCAGATGCTCAATGTGTTTTACATATAAGCTTCATTAAATCAGAAAAGGAGTTTCCCTGCACATTCGAGTAGTATGAAGCTGCAGACTCGGAGACCTGCATCTACAGTCCCCCTGCACCCAGAGTCCCGCATTCTCAGACCCCTCGTTTTTCGAGACAGCGCCTCCAATCAAATTGTATCGGATAAACATGTGAAGAACATGTGAAGAACTTAAGCCAAAACGTGACTAGGCTATCTTCAATTTTATTTAGCGAATCGTAGTAGCCTACTCGTTTGATTTATTTTTTAATAAAACTAATTTAGCTCATCAATACAGCATATGAATAGTCCATTTAATATTTGTAAAGATAGTTTGTAACAAGATTAGAGCCGTTAATGTATGTTTTTTCGCCCTCTTCCCCCCGAAAATATTTTGATAGCTAACCTTAGCCTTTAACCTTGGACTTTTTGTAGATATGTCATAAATGCTGCAGTGATTTTCACTGCCCATTTTGAGCCCCCATATATTTTAAACCCACAAAGTTGTCCAAAGTTCAAAAACATCTCAAGGGACACTTCAACAGAGTAGTGCAACATGAAGGTAACATTTGCAAACATCTTTTTTCTTTTTTTTTTTTTTTTTCTTTTTAAACATCATAAGACATGTGCTATCGGGCCTATACTGTTGTAGGCTATTCCAGGGTACACCATACATCGATGGAGTCGCCCCTGCCGAACCCAGCAACATATCATTTTATGATTATGCAAAGCGACTTATAAATTAGTTTTTTTTATGCAATTGAAGACGAAAAGTAGTCACGGACACAGTTTTTTCTTCCTTTTTTCTTTACAGCAAGATGATGTTTAGGTGATCATTAAATAAAGTACAGAATTGTTTATTATTGGTGTTTTGTCTATTCTGATTTGTTTTGCTTCGCATTCAAAATATCAAAAAACAGATTTTGTAATGTTAGCATGGTAATGTTAATTAGGCCATTATAGCTTGAACTGAAAGAAAAATTGGAATTTGAATAAAAAAAAATATAAAAAAACATTGTAGCAATATAATATCACATACTATTTTTCAGAAGATAGTTCAATCTGTAATTGTATCCCTTCCATCGCAATGAGTTTTTGGCGCATGCATTAAGCAGGGAACGCAAATATTTATTGGATCATTTATTTGGAGACCGTAATATTGCATCCTATTGTTTTTAATTACATTTGGATAAGCGTGCGCTGTACTCTGTGTGCGGGTGTTATACGATCTTTCGAACAGCAGGAGGTGCTGTGTTCGAAAAACGAGGGGTCTGAGAATGCGGGACTCTCGCCGGGGGACTGTAGATGCAGGCTCCGAGTCTGCAGCTTCATAATATTGGCACATTCACTATATAAAATTCACTAGAGGAAAAAGTTCGCGTGGCCGTCATCAGATTTGGAAGTCGCTCAAAAGGCTCTTTCGCGGTTGTGGCTTCAGTCGACTTCAGTGAGGCGCGGTGGTTTATGGGATGAGTAGTTCCTTCGCTCGTAAATGAAAATATGTACACAGTCTTGTTGTACCTTTGACTTTATTTGGATTTTCTCTTCGTTTTTTCACTCGAAATGATATGTTGTATGCTTATGAGTTCAGCCTTAGCTGGTTATCCTCAGACATGCTCTAAAACTCTTTAGATACGGGTTTTCCAAAACGTCAATGGGAGAAATGAATGGGAAATTTACTTCCGGCACCGAAACTCTCTCGGGCTATGGGCGGGACTGTTATGCTCTATACCCCAGACAATAACATTGAATTTTGTAACAGAATAAAAGTTTTTTTTTGTTTTTTTTTACAAATGTAATTTTACTCTGTTTATTAATGTTTTTACTCAACATTTGTGCAGTTTTTGGAGGATTTATGATATATTTTACATTTCTATAAATAAATAAATATTTATTTAAATAGGCTTTTTACAAAAAAAACAGCATTTTATGTCAAATTCACTTTATAAAAGACCCAGATTTCTAACTTTCATTCATGGAGATAACATGGATAATTTTACATGGTTTAATGTAAGATTTTTGGCCACTTTTTTGAAAATGCAGTTTTAAAATAAAATAAAAATCACTTTAACCACTAGATGGCTATAGAGCTTCACTATATGTTATTTGCTATTTGACTAACCAAAATATATCTTTTCACAAGTTTTTCCAGTTGGATTCATATCCACATTTTGTACATTTTATTTATGTTCAGTAGCTCTTTCTACAGTAGCTCTTTCTAAGGGTATTTTTTCAATACCCTTTGCACATTTTATTTATGTTCAGTAGCTCTTTCCAGCTAGAGCACTACTACAAACTAATAAAAGGATTTATTATTTTTTATAAGGTCGTCTGTTGACTGCTGTTTATATAAAACCCCTTCAATATAGTTGTTGTTACCTCAGGGGAGGAGGGGAATCATCAAAAAAAAAAAAATAATAATAATAATAATAGAGCACTCTTTTGGGCCACTTAAAGCACTGGTTAGAATGTAGATTAGGGTTAGGTTATAGCAATTGGCTGTATATGAAAACAGAAGTCTATGGAATGTCCCCATTTAGATAAGTAAATGTGTGTGCATTTAAGAATGTGTGTGAATGTGATTCTTCTCACTTGACGCCTCCATAGAACGGGTCATTGAATTCTGCAACAATCCGTGCAGCGTACCAAGATACAGCCACCACAGTGCAAACACCTATGGAGATATACATATTTCTCAATTATTATAGATGCTAAATAGGTGGAAACATGCAGACAACTAAACAATAATAGAAACTGCATGTTTATGGACAATGTATTTCTGTTTACCTGCAAGGATGAAGATAATGCCGCCAATGACCATTGTCTTGCCTTTTGCCTCATCTGTTTTTGACCCAAATTTAATGCACTTCAGCCCCATGGTAGATAAAATTATACCGACCAGCCCCATGATCAGGGCGATGATCGTTAATGCTCGACATGCTTGAATATGAACTGAAAACAAGAAGGACAAAAAAAACAAAGAGTTTAGTCTTTGATTTTTGAGTTTAGAGTTTAGCCTACTGTAACTTTGGTGTGTGCAGGATTACCGTTACAATATAGTTCAGACTTTCATCATATCTAAAATTTGGTAAAGTGTTTGGTAAAATTATGCATATAAAAGGTTATCATTGATCATTATAGTGGTCTTTGTTATGATTGGCATCATTGATCTATGGTAGTGATAGGTGCTTTCATTAACACTGCACCATGAAGCTTCTAAACTTTTTTGAATCTTTTGTTTCGAATCAGTGCTACAGACCACGCATCAAACTGGCCTGTCTACAGAAAACATACTGTTTCAAAACGTTTTACAGTTTCAGTGGTTCTGCCGCTAGGGGCATTGCACTGGTAATCACATGCATGAACCAGTGTCTAATATGGTTTTAACTGATCTTGGGTCAGTTTTATTAATATAGATTCTGTTTTAATGACAAAAATAGTTTTGATGTGTTAGTGCTTCAAAACACTTAGAAAATAAAGATTCCAAAAGGAGTTTTTTGCAGCAATCTCATAGAAGAACAATTTTTGGTTCCACAAAGAGCCTTTCAGTGATCAGTTCTTAAAATAACAATTTTTTATAGAGTGAAGACCATTTTAAAAATCGAAAGAAAAATGTTCCACAGTAAAGAAGCTTTTGGTGGATTAGAATGGTTCCATTGATATACAATGTTCTTCGCAGAACCATTATTTTTAAGATTAAATCATTTTGCAAAGCAATTGTTTCAATTGTTTCGGAGTCTCAAAAAGCTATGTTTCTTCGATTACTAGTGTATATGTTTATCATTTAATAAAGGCCAGTGATACTTGAAAAATAAAAGAGAAAAATCAAGAGATAAAAGTGGGCCTAGGCGGTTCTCCATATTGTTACAACACAAAATGGCTGCCAGAGATTGAACATGGAGAAAGAGTTTCACCAAGTTCCTGGTCCAAGTATAGTTCCTCAAAAACCCAATGCAAGATTCTAAAACAGTCTTGTATACATTTATATTCATGATAGGAATGAATTACTCTTAAGGTGTGCTGATATTACAGAGCAAGCCTAATAACCTGGTTTCATTTTAAATTGGTTCCTACCTGGCAAGGCTAACATGGATTGAAAGTCTTGGCAGTTGGCCTTTCCAGTGCTGTCCTCGCCGCAGGCATGCCATAGGTTCTCATAGAGGCGGTTTGAAACGATTACGGTGCCTTGTACACTAGATATCTTCCAGTAGTCATTAGCCACAGCAAGGCCAGTCATCACCCAGCCGATCAAACACATGAAGAATCCAGTCACCTCTAATGCTGTTGACATCTTTACACTTCGCACACAAAGTGAGAGAAATAGAAGATGGATAGAAAAATTATAGGCTAGAATAGTGTGCTGGAATAGTCCTGTGAACCTTTCTCTACTCCAGATAACTAAGTTTGAATTTTTCTTCCGTTGAGCAGCAGGACTTCAACCTTTGTGGAGGGTCATAAAGCCATTGCCGCACCCAAGAACCCACTCAGCTTATGACGATGCTGTTGATGATGGGTGTGATCGTTTCATAGTGAGACACACATTTACTCTGGTCACACCATTACCATATATAGTTATCATATGATTGGAGTCTCTTTCTGTGATTATATTAAAACTAATTCAATAAATATTGCATAAAAATAGAGCCTACTGGCTGATTGGGAGTGTGACTGGCTCTTTTAGTCACCAAATTATCTATCCATCCATCCATTTTCCTAACTGATTGTCCTATGTATGATCGCGGGGATGCTGGGACTATCCCTGCGTCTCGGGAAAGTCCATCGCAGAGATAATAACACACTAAACTTTACACACTCAGTCACCGATTCAGTGGAAAACTATAGAAAGATGCACTAACAGCATACACCAATATGTGTTTAATATATATATTTTTGAAATTCAGAGAAATCTCATATCGATGTAATACTGGTGCTAGTGGTATTGTATTGTATTGCATACTTATTGTGAGCATAGTGAGTGTGGTTATAGATCAAAAGAGAAACTGAAATGTCATTGCCAGTGACTGAGGGAACTGGAAAAAAAAATCCCTCTATGGATGGGATAGCTCACTGCATAATCCCCTTCTACATTACTTGATGACAAAAGTTGGCAGGGCGTACTTATGTAGGATGCTGATTTTGTTTCATACCAAAAAACATTCTTACCCTATCAGTTCAGACAATATTGAAAATATTGGAAAATATTGTCTCATTGATCCACATTTCATGGACTGCTTTCTGGATGGTTTTGCTGGGACACAATATTAATGGTGTAATATTCTCTCTCTATGTAATATTGATGAGCAATACAAAGGGTGTCAGTTATACAAATGCTCCCCAGTGTGCATCAGTGTGTCAGTACACACAGTAAGTGAGAGAACTTAATTTACAACATGAATTAGCTTCAGGATTACACTTCAAGGTTTTTTAAATAAGTTTGTGGTAACTCTTTAAAAACATTTTTTGTCAGTTTCCCTTTTTATTAATGGCAGTTGATGCTGTGAAAAAGTGCATATTCATGTCTCTCTCTTTGGTTTCACTGTAACCTGGTTTCAACAGTTAGGACCATTTTGTATGTCATATATCTTCATGGTTTTATGGCGTGCCAGTTAATGGTTGATTATCTTCAGAGCTCAAAGTCTAAGCTCTCTCAATAAACAGATGACTTCAGAGTTTCTTTGTTTTTCTCTCCATCTTTTTATCATTACCTACCCATAATTTTTTTCACTCTCTACCTCTCTATCCATTGGAAGATAATAGTATTTTTAGTAATAATTAGTTTTTATTTTATCATACAGATATCTATACTCATGTCCTCATAAAAGGCTATTAGCAGGTAGTGCAACTGTGTCATATGTAAATGAGCATTCTATAATTGCCAAAAACAAATCTTAAAAATGTAAAATGCTAGAGAGGGAGTAAGATAAGAAATGTGTTATTCATTTTGAATCTTATTTTGAAAGGTTAAGAAAGTGTTACCCCTAAAGTTAGAACTTTATTTTTATTGTATTGGCCTTGTCCCCTCCTGAAGCCCTTTGATGCTTTCCCTTTTATTGTACTTTGGACTAATCCAAATAAAGTCACTTTTGAGTGTTTCAAAAATCTTTGTGATTTTTGTGGAGTGCTGGGACAGGAGAGGAGAGTTCTTGGTTGCCTGTTGTTGCCAAACTGTTACAAACTTCCTTGTAACTACGTCCCTGACCCCTAGACTGGGGAGGCACGGAACAATTGGGCAATTCAAACATAACACAGAGACCACTGAGCTATTGCTTTAAGGGGCAACTGGGCAACACACATGACTACATTGTTATGTTTCAGATACCTTGAATAGACGTTGTATAAGGTCAGAAAGGTTGGTTCGGGCTAAAACATTTAAGGATTTATAAGCAAACACTAAAAACTTAAAATTAATCCTAAAACGCACTGGAAGCCAATGCAGGGAAGCCAACATGGGGGAAATGTATTCCCGCTTGTGTGTACCTGTTAAAAGTCAAGCTGCAGCATTCTGAAATAACTGCAAGCGTGAGAGAGAGAGAGAGGCCTGAATGACACCAACATAGACTGATTATAATAGTCAAGTCAAGTCAAAATATAGCACTTTTCACAATACAGATTGTATCAAAGCTGCTTCACAGTATCAATCAAAACAACTTAACAGTGTTTGTTTATTACTGGAAAAAGACATGCAAGTCTAAATAGTCTAAACGAGATGAAATAAAGCCCTTTCGAAGTCATTGGATGACGAAAAAAACTTGACTTTAGATAAAAGCCTTAACTGTAAAAGCTTGATTTTACCACAGAATGATTTTGTTTCTCAAGTTTAAAATCTATGTCCATTATTACACCTAGATTTTTTAAAAGTGGGTTTAGCATAGGGAAGTAGAGAGCTCAGATCAATGTTAGGGGCCTTGTGAGTATTGTTTGGGCCAAATATTATCAAATATCAGATTTCAGTGAAATCGAACTGAATAGGCTACACATGCTTACATTCATAAAACTTTATTTCTATTCAATTTTCTAAATTATTTATAGGCTATGTGTCACACACGCCTACCTTTTGATGTAAATAAAAGACGAGAGTGGTAAATGTTATGGACTTCACGAGTTCACACTTACATACAATTAAAGGGAATAAAGTATAATGCGTATTTGGCGTGCTGTCCGGGGGGAGGGCTCCGAGCTCGGAATTCGGCCCGAACCCAGAGTACTCCCCCCCGTATGTAAGGTGGTTTAGGACTAGAAGAGTGGAGAAGGGGTGGTGGAGGGACTCTGCTAAACTGTCAGAGAAATGAGGTGAGACTGCTGAGTCTACATGTACACGTTTTAATCATGATTGCTGAGTGCTCTCCACCCGTGTTAATTATCTGAACGTGCTTCTCCCGAACTTTGTTAATGAAACATAATTTTAATCATGATTGCTGAGTGCTCTCCACCCGTGTTAATTATCTGAACATGCTTCTCCCGAACTATGTTAATAAAACATCATATATTATCATGGCACAGCTCAGCCTATTATTGAATTTTACTTCCACTTCCCTTTTATCCAAAGAGACGGAACTATTTGCACTGTATTTATCAATGGGAAATACATCATGCTAAAATAATCTGTCATATGTAGGCCTATACTGTGGCTCACATTAATGGGGTCGCTTGCAAGTCGCAGCAACACGAATTACGTGACCACACTCTAAAAATGCTGGGTTGTTTTAACCCAATTTTGGGTCAAATATGGACAAACCTAGCCATCGGGTTAAATTTTTTTTATTACATTTTTAACCCGACGTTTGGGTTTGTCCGTATTTGACCCAAAATTGGGTTAAAACAACCCAGCATTTTTTAGAGTGCAGCAACATATTTCTGCTTCAAATATTGTGCGTAGTTAACAGTGAGTGTTGGTTTCAGACATTATTTTATTAAAGTGAATTTGTCAGTGCCGCACTCGTAGGCTACTGACTCGAATTCTGCCTGACAGAAAGAAAAGCTCGTACTGAAGGTGGAGCGGTTTGACCAATCAGATGAAAGGGCAGTTTCAGCGCCGCCCATGTGTGCAAATGAAATCTCAAACCCATAAACCAATGTATAAACCACAAACGAAAAATGAAAAATCGAGCCAATATCTCATATTAAACTAAACAAAAAAACAAATAAACAAGCTGGTTTCCATTTCTCGTTATCCCATTCCAAACACGAAATGAAATGATCAAAAAGTACACAGACCCGGTTTACAGACACTATTCCATATCGCGATTAGAACAAAGCACTTAAGAATAAATAACTTACTATTCACATCAGCTGGGTCCATTGCTCCTCGAAATGAAACTACCAGCACTTCTGAGGTTTTCCAGGATTATTACGATAGTATTATTCCTCACAGCGTAGCAAGAAGACGTAAAGTACATGATTCTTATTAAACTTGATGTGTTTTACCCAGCTGATGTGGGCGTTGGCATGTTTGCATGGTTTGTCTCGGATTATTTGCGTTTGAATAGCGCGCGCTCTCCATGGGCGTGGTCACATTAGCACTTAATGAGCTATAATGAGCTAAAAAGAAAACGACTGACATCTCTCTCTTTTCATACAGATTACATAAACTGAGAATATTTGTTTTTTAAAATAAATTACTTCATTTAAAATAAGAGAATTCAAGCTTCATGCCTGTGTGCCTGTATGCCTGTGTGACTGAGTATTCTCTGAGTTACAGTTAATTTTCGGACGCGTTTCAGAATGGACTTCACATTAGAGAGATGGCAGAACGCGCATCATGTTTATTTTTCGTTATTCGGCAAAAAGCACAACACTTTGTTTTTATTGTGATTGTGTTTTATTGTGTTTTTATAACACTTATCTGTAAGATCAAAATCAACAGAGTATTTTGAGTCTCTTTTGCACTGATAAGAAAAAAAGCGAGCTGGTCACACCGGCGTGATCGCCGACCCCAGGGGGTTAAGTGAAAAGCATGTTGTTACTGTCACGGTCACTAGATTATATGAAGCGCACGACAATGGAGTAAACAAAATAGTCTTCAAATGTAAATTAAAAACAAATAAACATGCAGGAGATAACGTACTCGGTTACTGGCGTAACCTCGGTTGTTAATTGTTAAAAAACTAATTGTTCTCCGATTTACTGAAGTTTTAATAAAATCATGCGCTTTAAATCCAATGGGGCATTGCAGGGCCATAGAAGTGTAAGCTAAAGCGATTGCTTCTACTATCCAGTGGGATAGCCTCTGCTTTGTGACCGGATGACCTTTGGTGCAGCCACCGAAGCACACAAAAAGCTGCTCAAACTGCCTAAGCAGGGCCGATCGCTCAATATATACTCTTAAAGCCCAAACAGGGCAGAGTAAATGAGGCTATCTGCAGCTGGGGGAAAAGGAGAGAGAGAAATAACCTGTGCTCTGAACAGAGTCGAGAGCACTTTGGGCACATAGTTGGGCCTTGGTTAGAGGATGACCTTACAGTCATTAGGCTCAAACTCAAGGCAGGAGGGGCTCACAGGGAGAGCCTGCAAGTCACCCACTCGCTTGACCAATGCTAGGACTAGCAGGAGGGTGGTCTTAAGCAAAAGGGGTCGTAAGTCGGCCAGCTGGAGTGGCTCAAAAGGAGGGCCCTGAGGACTGTGGACAAGTCCCAAGTGGGAACTGTGAGGGGGGTGAGGCAGGTTTGGCCTCCTGGACCCCTTCAGAAAACGAACAACCAGGTTGTTCTTGCCCACCGACCGGCCGTCCACTGGAGCGTGGAAAGCTGCAATGGCCGCCACATAAACTTTGAGCGTGGAAGGGGTACGGCCCTTACAGCTTGTGGTGGATTTTTAATAGATAAGATAGTAAACTATCTTTTAGAACTAATCATGTTTCTGACTCTAAAAATCTGACCTTTAGATTATCTAACGATTATTTAATGACTCATAAATGTAAGTACACATTGATGGCCTAAGACACGAAACGAGCGGTTTGTGTGAGAAAACGAACAGTATTTATATCGTTTTTACCTCTTGTAACCACAGCCACGTCCAAGTGATCTGAGGGCGCGGGCGCTTCGGTCTGTGCGTTACAAGAGGTAAAACCGATATAAATACTGTTCGTTTTCTCACACAAACCGCTCGTTTCGTGTCTTAGGCCATCAATGTGTACTTACATTTACGAGTCATTAAATCATGTTTAATTTGGACTTCTCTGTGCATGCTCTTTGAGGTGGTGATCATAGACCTGCATTATATGACTGACAGACAAGAACGGTTTGACCTAAAAATATCAAAATGGAAACTACTGCGGAAGCAAAGACACCTACATCTTGGATGCCCTTGAGGTAAGCTAAAACATATCAAAAATTAATTTCAAAGTGAACTATCCCTTTAAGACATTTTATTTATTCATTTAAATAATGTTTAAAAAATGTTACAAAAAAAATGTCTGGCAAACCTTATTGGTCCTCATCTGAAAATTGACCATATTTTTAATCCTTTAGAATAAAAGACTCAATTTGGGTGTTCTCAGTTCTGGTTGTCGAGGGACTTCCTGCAAGACACTCTTCCGCCATCTTCAGGGTGAAACTTGACATTTCATATGACAATCAGTTGCTTGCACAAACTTATTATTCTTATCTTGGATAGTGTATTTTGTTTGGCAGCCTTTTAATTCTATTTAAATATTAATTATGTTTATTGCATTCTTTGTCCACAGACTTCAGCTGATGGTGTCTGATCATTTCACCCCCTTTGTCATCATGCATATTCTGTGTGATGTCATGAATGAATTTTGTATATCTGTAACTGCACATTTGAGTCTACTTACGAATATAGAGCATTTTGTTACATTTATAAGAATGCTTGACCAATCTAACCATATTTTCAAAAAAGTTCTTAGCATTTTATTATTAGACCACATTATCCGTGTTCAGAAAAAAATATTCATGAGGGTTTTATTGTGTAAGTTACTAGATATCCAACATTCATTTGATAAAAAAAAAACAATAATTATGTTTTGTTGTCATTGCATAAGTACCAGTCTTTCCCAGTATCTACAGGTGTTGTCTTTCTTTCTCTCTAATCCATATTATTTACACACACTTATCTTCTTAACAGACACTTTCTTATCTTTCTTATCTTATCATCTCATGTTTCACTGGATGTCCATTCATTGGGCTTGTGATCATGATCTTATAGCTTCCAGTGATGCCACTGGTATTTTATCAAAAATATATATGTTGAATGGAAGTTTGACAAACTTTTTAAAATATATTTAATCTTAGATTCCTAAAACATGCATACTTCAATGCAATGCAAAATGCAATTTCAAACTTAATATATATATATATATATATATATATATATATATATAACTTTATTCTAGAGCTGCCATAAAGCCAAAACAATGTGTTACTGTAATTTCCTATCATCACTGTAAAGCCGCTTTGGAACTACATTGTTAAAAGCGCTATATAAATGTAGATGACTTGACTTGACTTGACTATTTATAGGCCTGATTAACACACCTCCTCCTACAAAGGGACTCTCCTTGCGTTTAACATAGTTTCATATAGTTTCATAAATCTTATTCAACCGTAATTTTTCAAACAGGTCCTACAGGTTTATTCCAGAGCGTGAGGTATCTCGCCCAACGAGTCATGCTGTTAGTTGCACCTTTCGTTTCTCATGTCTCAAGTTTCTCCTTTAGGCTTGTTTACAGGCGCAGATAACATGAAGACTCCTCTAACACCATTATTCTCAGGGACTGTTTTACTTGAAAAGTGACAGTGGGAAAACCCTGGACTCTTTTGGGTTGTTGCAAAGGAAGAGTGATCCAGGGCTTGACCAGGGCTGGCATCCACCGAGACGGAGAAAAGGAGGTTATGAGCAGCGGTTTGATCAAGAGCCTGTTTTCTCTGCTTCTGCACTTTACCATTAACTGTACGTATAACCTCTCAGTAACTGCGCATCATGGTAGTGGGATAGGCTACGTGATACCGTTTTTCTGTCTTGAAAACCGGTCAAGGGTCTCGTTTCTTTTAGGGGAATAGAAACCTGCTGTTCCATTGTATAAAATTGAGTTTGGCATTTTAAACCTGGCCTTATAGCAGTGGTGTAAAGTATTGGAGTAAATGTAATTAGTTACTGTACTTTAATGTTAAGCATCTTTTGGCTTCTTTGTAGTTTTACTGAGTATCAAGTAGTCTCAAAAGTATATGAACTCTATACTCCAATACATTTGTGATAAGTAATGTTCTTAAAAGTAACTCGTTACATTTTTGCATGGTATACCTAACTTTTTCTGCAGCATGTATTTCTGATACAAAAGAAGCAATATTGTCATCTACTGGGAGGGTATTAGGGACTATAATTGAAGGTACTCTGATAGCACTATATCTTGAAGGTACTCTGATAGTACCATATATTGAAGATACTCTGATAGCACTATATATTGTGCGTTTTGCCCGTCCTCACCCAAACTTGTCAACAAGGCGAATGTGAGCGCATTACCAGGTAGTTGTGAATCACAGGTGTTTCATATATGAGATGAGGACACGGCTGCAGCTGGTGATCCAGAACATCCAGTGCAAGTAGGCTTTGACTTGACATTATTTTATCTATCCATAGTGAAAAGTCCTTTTTGAGGATATTGGTTTACTAATGGCCACTTGACCTTAACTGAGACTTGAGTGTCTTTAGATGTTTAAGAGGTCCTTGATTTATTGCGATTTTAAGGTGTTCGTTTTAATTTTGATTTTAGAAAATAAACATGTTATTGTTCTCTTCACAAATCAGCTGTTTCTTGTTTTTCACTGGCATGTCTCTTGGGTGTTGAGGACTGGTGCATCTTTGAGTTAACTTAAAATTGTATGTTTAACATATATATATATATATATATATACTTTATATATATATTAAATAATAAAGAAATCAAAAACAGTGATTGGTAAATCCTCTTTAGTGCTGCTACGACCCGCCTTATTAGAGTTATTAGCGTGTATAGATGTTACATTATGTAATTTAATTTGGCGTTACAGTATTTATGGTCCTGAACAGGTTTATGCAATGAATTTAAGGTTTGACATTCTTAAGATGCTTTTAACCGATGCAAGGAGAGTGAATGAATGTTGCTTGAGGCTCTGAACACTCTGTTCAGTATCTGTGAATGTTTTCGCAATACAGAAAGTCAAGTTAAAAAAAAAATCATCATAAAGATCCGGTTTCTTCCAGATGTTTGTCAAATGTTAATATTGTTCATTCATTTCAGATCCAAGTACACTACCGACACCTCTTAACACCTCAATGCATTCAGTGAACATGAAGCACATTCTGAAATGGAGCCCCTTGCAGGTGTCCTGCTCCACTGTCAACTACTCTGTGCAATTTCAAGGGTACGCATATTTCTCAATGTTTTTTTTTTATTGCTTATGAATACTTTTTAGAAATGCATTGTGTACAGTATGTCAACATTTTATGTTATGATACACAATAAATATCAGACGAAAACAATAAAATCATCACATGACTAGTATGGCCACAAACTGCCCAGTAATGTATTTCTTTGCTTACTGAGCTATTGGTGACTGACCTGTCCTTCAAAAAGACTGGAATGCTCATTTGTGCATCTGTACATTAAAAGATCAAATTCTGAGTTTCTATATCCAGCAGTAACTGTAAAATGTAAGGTATTTTCACTTTTTTAACACTTAAATATAACGTCACATTTATTTATAGCGCTTTAACAATATTGATTGTTTTAAAGAAGCTTCACAGAAATAAACAGGAAAAAAATGTATCAATTATGAAATTACTTCAAATTCAGCTGTAAAGCAGCTCTACAGAGGCCAACTGTCATTATTAATCTCTAGTCAGTTCAAGGTTGATTCCTTTCAGTTTGACGACAGTGTCGATGTTCCAAAGTTCTGTCAGTTTACATTCTAGACTGCAATTATTTGAACAAGATGACGTTTGTTGATGTTATCACAAACAGCCTGGCAGAACAAGTATTCTTAAGCGTTTAGTCTCCTCTTCAAGCAAAAAGATGGTAGGCATCAAATAGTCGTTGCAGAAACCCTTTATTTTGTCTACCAAAAAAAAAAAAAAAAAAAACTGCCAGGCCAAAAATACTTGTTGTTTGGATTTAATAATCAAACATTTAAGAATCATTGGATCATTATTGCAGTGATGTTTATTATGTTTTATCGCATGTTATAAATGTTGTGATGTTATTTCCATCAAGATGTGCATACATTTTTAGTCCAGATCTTGTATTGCCAATGCAAGAGTCCAGCACTCTCTAAAGTCTCCTCCAGCACATCCCAAAGACTTTCAGTGAATATGGTGCCAAGTCATGTGTGAAAATGATTCGTCATGCTCCTCCCAACCATTCTTTCACAATTTGAGCCTGATGAATCATGACATTGTCATCCTGGAATGTGGCCATGATGTGTCTTTCTGCATGGTTAAGAAATTAAAATCTACACACTCTATCATTTAGGGTTTGTGGTGAGAGGTAGTATTTCTCTCAGGTTCTGAAGAGCCCCTGGTATCGCCAGGAAGCCTTTTGCTGTCAGGTCACTAGGATTAAATCCTCACTAGCTTGTTTAGCCCATACCAGTAAATCTAGCTGTACCCCTACACTTAGGTGGAACAATAATCATCATTGACAATCATTAATCAAGTTCATGCTTACCCTTCAGAAGAATCTTTCGTGGATGCTTGATTGTCCCCAAAATATACTATAATGCTCTTTCTATTACTTGCAGAACTGTCTTTATAAGCTGAAGTAAAAACTACAGGCTATTTACCTTTACCTGCAGTTCAAGCAATAGATATAAATAACTTGAATAACTTCAATAAAAAAATAACTTGTCCTCTTCCAAGCTATTCAAGTTAAAATAATGTAGCAGAGCAGATTGAGCAAAAAGATTTTCAGTTTACAAACTGGGCTGGAAAAGAATTATTTTCTCTCCAGGGCTGCACACGACAACAAAATCAAAAATGCAACAACTAACAGTCAAAAAGCAGTCATATATACGGTACTGGGTTGCATTGTTCCTATGCAATTTCTTGGGTTTTTTCCAGAGGAACTAAATCGTGAAATCAACCTTCTGTTGCCTCATAAATCATGTGAGATCAGCCCTCTGTTGCTTCAGATGGGGGGACTTCCGGAGTCGACATTGTTTTCCATATATGTGCGTTTTTCCGTCCTTACGGGCCTCTTTACAAAGTGTGTGTATGTATCTGTAAGTGTAGGTTCATAATATCTTTCAAAATTCAAATAATTCCCTACAGGTTAGAAGAATAAAAGTACATAGGGTACATAGGGTACATAAGTACATGAATATTACTCATCTCTGATTCTCAATGTAGGGAGTATGAGTTCTACAAACTTAATGGAACATGGATGAATGCGTATGACTGCCAAGAGATCAGTGAAAACAGGTGTGATCTCACCCATGACCTGGCCTCCAACTCTGACTACAGCATCCGCATAAACACAAACTGTGATGGACAAAAGTCATGGACACAACTACCAGCGACTTTCAACAGGAGAGACAGTTGAGCATTATTGCCATTATTTTTACAGAAACAAAATTAGAGATGTCTGAAATGGATCAATTGGGTCACATGTCCATTTGTGGTCTTTTATAGCAGTGTTGCTGGCTCCGAAAATGACCGTGAATGTGGAGCGGGATCCCATCCAGGTGGGCTTCAGTACAACACTTTCTGATATGACCGTCAACCTTAAAGTCTGGAAGGAGGGGGACGAACAGAATGTGAGAATATTTTCATACTTTCATTTTGTATCCATGATATTTGCTATTAGCTCTCTGTATAGGCCTACAGTTGATGTCTGGCTTTGATAATGAATGATGTGGACCTAAGGGTGGACGCCGGCATATTTCAAGTGTCACAATGTTGCTCAGGGATGCAACAGTTCCTAAATTGGCTTTAATTGGAACTTTTTTGGGGGGGCCGAGCAAAAATAGACAAAAATAACTATGGCAATATTGTGTCTTAAGTGTAGGATACTTAATTATTCACTTCTGGCTGCAATGAACTGCCTATAAAAGCAATCATGCTGTCATCTTAAATATTAACACAGTTGTAATTGCCCGTGCTAATATTCATAACAACAGCACGATTATGACTGTGATATTGCTTTAGCATAACATGTGGTGCCAGCATTGATCCATCTTTCCAGTAGTCAAAAAAATATGGCCTGTGAAAAGTACAACCTACTGAACAGACTGTACATCTAACACTCTTGTCTTCATTTGTGTAAAATAAAATGAAAGTAAGTATAAAGTAAATCAAATCTAAGCCGTCTGTCCTGACTAAGGTCTATTGTGACCTTGATGGATGTCGTTGCAGACCTTAATTTATGCGATCAGAGCTTATCCCTATCATTTTTCCATTGCCGCGCATCGAGGGCGAGAGAAGATGTGCTTCAGGGCAGAAGCAGTAGTGGAAGCCATTAACAAGATCTGCAGCATTGACACGCAGTGCGTCACCATTCCTGGTGAGTGATCAGTGATCAAGGAAATGGTAGATAGATGTAATTACATGTCTACAGAATAATGCATTAGGAAGAAACTATGAAGATAATTGACAAGATGGTAAATGTAATACTATGCTTGTTCATAGTATGCTTGATTTCCTTTCAAGAGCACACATCTGACTTTGTGAAGCCGACGATAGTAAGCGTCGCTGTAGTAGTTGCGGTCGCCATGGCCTTTATTCTGGGATGGTCGGCAACACATTTTGGTCCACAGATCAAAGAGATTTGCCACAGGGAGCCCATTCCCAGTGTACTGGTGAGTGTGTGTTTAACCTAATGATCCGTTCCTGTCCAGCAGTGCTGGGTAAGTTACTCTAAAAAAAAGTACTCTATTTTGTTTAGGGGGAAAGTATTTAAATGACAGTAATTCGATTATTTGGTAACTACCCAACAATGCTGCCCAGATATCTGAATGAGATCATCTTTATTTCCTTTAGAAACCACTTTGTTTTGTTTTACAGAGCACAGTTGAAGTAGTCTATATCTGACCCGGTTCAAATAGAACAAAGAAAACACACCAAATCATAACTATTTCTAGAAGTGATGACTTACAGTATTAGAAAGAATGACCACTTGTTTTTGTTTCCTCCAGCTTGATGACTGGCCCACCAGAACACCCATCCTTTGTGCTGATGTTTCACTGCTGGAGCCCACAGAACTCCTTCTGCTGCCAAGAGTGCAGGTGGAGGGAACAGTTTGAGTGAGGTGGAGCACAGAACCAGTAGCGGCCTTTGCTATGTTTCACCTTTTTCACTTAAAATGGGCCTCTGAACAGAAGGGCCTCCTCTTCCACTTGAAAAAGTGCCTCAGAGTTGCGAAGGCCGCCTCTTCGCAGGACACGAGTTGAAACTTCTGACTGAATTACTAAAAAGTACCTGAAGCACTGATGTCACGTGCAGATGGACTGCAGTTACTAACAGCTCGACCTTCTTAATTTAGACAGAAGAAATGGCGAGTGAGATGTTTTGGACTGGGCGTTGAAATGATTCAGATCGCCTCTTGTTGGAAAATGGGACAAATGAAAGTTATTGATTTCATGCTGTATGCACAGCGAGGTAACAGTGTGGTGCTCTTTATTGACATCTGTTTTTATGTTTTGTAATAAGTGTTAAAAATTGATTTTTTTTTTCTTTTTTGATCATACATGAACAACTGTGTGTTTACAAACAATAAACATCTGGTGAATCAGAATTATAAGAATTATAGTCGCATAAAATGATTACATTCTCTCTGTCTCCAAGATTCTATGGTATTATTCTGTCTAACTTCCTGTTTTCATGTGCTTTGTGTACGTTTTTAAGTATTTTAAGTGTACGTTTAAGTGTAGTATCTCAGTATTGGTACATCATGTTTACAAAATGGTTATTTATTTCTTAAGGTATTGCTATTATAAGTAATTTCACTTTTTACAAGAAAAAAATCCTGAAAATATGACAGTAAACAGCTATCTTAAGGCAATTTTAAAGGAGATAAATTGTCCACAGAAATCTGCAGTCAGCATTAATAAAGAGATCATGCAAACTTTGAATACATTTATTGTCTCATAATATTTTGACAGTATTCTCTCCTGAGGTGAGTAGAAAGATTTTCATGAAAGTCCACCAATATAGATTGAATCTAATAAATAGATTCATATTTTAAAACCCTTTGTAAAAACATAGCACAGTCATGTTCTATTGGACATAGATGCCTTTGGCCTGTATTTCACCTTAGCCTTGAGATTTGAGAATGTTCCAGAGAGGCGCTTCCTTTGAAGTCAGATGCTCTTTTGGTACATTCATTCCCAGATAATCTGATCTCTCGTACAGACTAGTCAACATGCTGATGTCAGAGATTTGCTTATTGGATAAGTGACCAAGCAATAGTGCAGCAGTGTATTCAATATTTCCATATAAACATACAACTTTGCTTATTTCCAGATTTTCTATATGGTCTCCAGACCTCACTATACACAAACATACTGAGCTCCACGTAGAGGAGATCGATGCCTTTGTCCTCAGACAGAGGATTCTTTTTATAGGCTTCTTCTTTCGACCTTTTTTCCTTTAATGATAGGACAACAGGCTTGAGAAAAGAAGGTGAAGGGAGAGACACATGTGTACTGAGCATCTGCACTAATTCTTCGAATTTACGTTAGTCAGTCAGTATTCTGAAGGAAAGTTCTGTTTCTGAAATGAGAGGGTCCAGTGATCTTGAGGTAGCTGAATAATCCTAAACTTGACCACCACCTCCACCTGGTCGGGGTCTGCCGTTGGGCTTGTTCCTTAGTTCATGCCAGAATCTCACCAGTGGCTCGCGGTTCCTCCAGATCATTTCATTACCATATGCAATGTACCACCTGGAAGAAGGGGAGAAAAGGAAATTAAAGGTAAAAGGTGAGAGAGAACCTAATAAAGTCCAAATGCTTAAATTCCTCATGATAAATCACTTGATGTGTGCAAGTATATCTCTTATATTGAAACAGTAAGTTTGGGTGGGGCTCATCCTTTTTTTAGTCCATAGAACATCCGTAAAGAACTTCAACATTTGTGGCCGTTTAAAATGAGCAGAGCCGTGGGTTGCAAACCACAGCTCTAGCATATAGATGACCTCAAAACTGACACACATGGGGCACTTTCATACACACGGCGCAATGCAGCGGCAGAAACAACGCAAGTGTTTTTTGCTTGTTTCAGCCCGACGCAGTTATCATTTTCACGTCCTGCGCCACGTTGTTTAAATAGCAAATGCATTTGCACCCATTTGTGCGCCCATGGGCGGCTGGTCTGAAAACGAGGTGTGTTCAGGCGCATTGTTGGCACGTTGCTATTTTGAGGCAGCTGAAATAGACTGCGTCATTGACCAACTGAAACCTGGTCTAAAGTCAATAGCGCAGTATTTTCTTGTTATTTAAAGACCCACTCCGATGAAAATAATGTTTTTCTAGGTGTTAAAATGTTCTTGTGGCATTTTTCTGATGTTAGAGGACATATCTTGAGAAAAATAAGCTCAAAGTTGTATTTCTGAGTATTTTTACATTCAAATGGCTGTGAATCAGTAGCAGACGCTAAAATGCCGGCTAAAATAGACTGGAGTTGTGACGTAGTAACTCCACTGGGCGTCTCCACACGCGACGTCTTGGAGTGAAATAATGATCGGTGATCGGTGATAACTTTGATTAACTTCGGATAATAATAATTAACGTGTATATAATACTGTTGCCCCACCGGTATTGGGGGTGTAAGCTAGCGGGAGAGACAGAGCTCTCAGCAACGGGCAGGGGGAGGGTCGTCTCCGTGCCAACGGCTCCGCCCACAACGCAGAGGCGAATTGCTAATGAGCTACTGCCGCTCTGCTGAAGCGAAGTCCCAGAAAACGGCACAGGTTTTGTGATTTTTGCTAAAAATGGCATAATCATAATTTAAAGAAATAATCATAATTTAAAGCTCGTCTGTATGGGCAGGCAGAACCGTTTAATAAAAGCAGTAAGCCCCATGAAGCCGTGATTTACAGTGAATTTAGAACAGGTGCTTTTTTGGGCTTCCGCTCCGTGCCTAACAACACCTCCTAGCTGATCTAAATTTACTGTAAATCATGGTTTCTTGGGACGTATTGCTTAATTTTGATTTCATGAGGTCTTTAATTCAATTCAGGGAAAAAAACAATAACATCTAAAGAAAAATGGGTAGATACCTATTCTTTACACCCCCTATAGGGGCACTGTTGTGAAATAATGAACTTGTTCAAATCAGTTGTGTGGAGAACAGTGAAGCACTCACACTCCAAACAGAGCTCCACCAAGATGGGCCGCATGATCAAAAAACCTCCAGCCCAAAAGGAGACCAGCTGTATCCAAAGCAACAAGAGCTTTCAAAGCCTAGAACATATGAAACAACATTATTGACATATCACTCTGCAAATACAAAAGAACAAGATACACCTGAATTATTTTACACACCCACTTACATTTCCTGCAGTGAAGCTGACCATAGGAAGCAAGAGGATGCCCAGCTTAGCTTCAGGAGTCTTGGTGCAGACTGCTGCCAGAACCGTCATGATGGCCCCTGACTGCAGGACACAAATCAATACTCTTAAAGAGGCCTTTATAGCACTGAAACACTGGCAGTGTTTAATATGAACTGTTACGACCACTTTATAATATGGTTATATAACAAACTGTACTGCCAAAAAGTTTCCCCAGAACAATAATTTGAGATGAGATTTAATAGTTGCAGAAGTTGTATGAATTTGATCTTTGTTTTTTTGTTTTAGAAAGATCTGTGTTGGGCAAAAAAAAACACACAAAAAAATCAGAATTTGTAAATATAGTCGGGCTAAAAAGTGTTGTTGGGCTTGCAATCCCTTCTATGACTATTTCATAAAGGAGAGATAAATACTTGTGTGTGTGTGTATATATATATATATATATATATACTGTATACACACACACACACACACAAATATATATATTTAATATTCCCCACAAAATATGCAGATTTGTATATTTCTTCATGTTCAAAATAACTGCAATTTACATCAAGATGAAATATATATGATCAAAAATGATTCTGTAAATGTGTTACTACATTAAACATAAAAGTTAATTGATATTTTAAGTTAACATATTAATCCCCCGACAGCATTTTTCTTTTTTTAAAGTTGCCATTGTCATTTTCATGTCCCCCCAAATATTTTGTTGTAGTAATATCTGAAAATGCAATACATAAAAAAAAAGAACGGACCTCTGCTTTTTAAAAATAAAAAATTCTAGCTTAATGCATTCTTTTTTATCAACACTTGAATGTGGGTTGAAAGTTTAATAAGAAAAGTTTTATAATAAAAAAAACCTTTTTGAGCAAATAGCTAAGAAAGTCTCCTTTTTGTCAAAGAGTACGTCTGGATAGGATTCAGAACAATGATTAAAAAATAGATAGAGTCCATCAACACCCGTAAAGCTTCACAGTCCTATAGCTCATCCTGCGTTGACATTTCATCCTCGATTATGTTAGGCAGTTTTGGTTTTATATGATGTTTAATGTTGATGATCTCGTTATTTTACATATTCATCTGCTTAAATATGCTAGTTTGTTTATGCTTATTTTTCGTCCCGGTGTTTTGATCCAGAGTTTCTGTACTCTTTCTGATGATGTGTCATAGCGCCCCCTAACGTATAACGGTGAAAACACTAGGGGTGACCCCGAATAGTCGAAGATTCGATGCTTCGATAGGAGGAGCCTGATTCGACTACCAATCTCACGGTCGAATCTTCGCAGATGTGTTATTAAACGAGGATTATGTCATTTTGGCTATATGAGTGTGCTCAATGTCTGATTTCACATAGAACTACTGGTTTTCTGTCAATACGTTAATATACAGCCGATTATGATAATGCTGCAATAAAAATGTGCAAAGAAAGAAGCTTTTAATAAAAAATTTTAACGTGCGTGCAGCGTGAATAAATCCAAACACCCCGTGACAGATTTAAGTTTCACTTTCGATCCGTGACCGACAGAGGAGCGTCGTGTCGGCAGGGATTTAAATCTTTAAAAATGTCTGGGATAAGAAAATCTAAAGATGCACACCATCAGAAAGGATATTCTCCAAGGCTGGATTTAGCATCAGGAAAACCATGATCGCACTTCTGCCGGCCAAAGTTAACAGGTTGGTTTTCCTCGGGACGTTCTAAAACGCTTAACGTGAAAAAAGCTTTTAAAGCGCTTAAATGGCACTTTTGCGTGCTTAATGTATATACACAGTAGGCTACACACACCTTAACCATTCTATGTGCAGATAAGCAGATGAACCCAGAATATGAACGCAACGCGTTTCTCCTATAGAAAGTCACGTAAAGCTTTTTCTTTAACGGCTTTCAATGGGAGGAAAATGCTTAACGTAGCCTATAATCAAACGCGTTGCGTTCATATTCTGGGCTCATCTGCTTTTCTGTAGGCTATATAGTATGCTTTATTAATAAGGTGTGTATAATTTGATCTTTTAATATAACAGTTTTAGGACAAAGCCGTTAAGCGTTTTTCACGTTAAGGGTTTTAGAATGTATTTTATCCGCGCACACAATTTGAAAAGACTCAAACGGACACAGGCCGAGTGAAAGACTGGATTTTGTTTTTTTCGATCAGGTACAAGTGATTTCAAAACATTTCAGCCGGTTCTAATTTGATTTTTGGATACTGTGAACACGTTTGGCTAAAAAGACTGCCGCTCCAGTTTAGCGTTTATTGTTGTTTCTGCAGTTAAAAAGACAAAGTTGACAATCCTGGCCATACTTTAGTTATTTTAATAATTTCTTTATTTTTATTTTATTAATTGATCACTCAGGGTGATCTAATTTAACTATTTGTGACTTGTGTTTTGAATATTTGTTCCCCTGCACTTTAGACATTTTGCACACATTTGTTCTGGTTCTTGTGACTTGATTCTGACTTATTTCGTTTTGTATTTTTATATATTATAAATGTATATTGTGTTCTTAATAGTTGATTATTTTTCAGTTCATCGATGTTGCGCTGTAGGCCGAGACTAGAGCATGCTCGTACAGGCAATTCAGCCGATTTAATTTGCATGTGAAATGCAAATCCTATCTGCAGTGTGGCCTTTCTGCAGTTATTTATGTTATTTCTTAGTTTTATTGATCCAAAATGTTTTTATACATTTTCTTCTATATCTTTGTGTGATGTTCTGTACATCGCGGCTTTAAAATGTTAAAGCCCCGCCCCCTCCCCAACACCACACACATGATTCGACTATTAGTCGACTATAGGCAGGACTTGACGAATCTGATTCGACTATGAAAATCCTTAATCGGGGACACCCCTAGAAAACACAGAAAGCCAGAAAATTCCATCAATAATGGGGAAAGAGTTAACTTTTACAGCTTTTAACATGCAGAAAAGAGGTTTTTACGGGAGTTATTGTAGCACGTGCATTTGTCAATTTGTTATGTTTGTCTTTGTTTGTTATGGTTATTAGATAGCAGAAGATTTTCTGGTAAGATCAATGCACCTGATGCAACAAAAATAACTATTGGTGCTGTTACTATATCGTGGATTTGAGCATGCATTGACCAATAAGCATTCAATTTGTTCATTTATTATTGGCTTTTAAGTTGGATTTTGCAGGACGCAGGAAACTCACCGCTCCTAGCGAAGGACCCAGACGACCAGTAGTTGTCTTAAACACGTAACTGACAAATGTCGAGATTACACCTTAACAAAATACATTTATCAAATTAGACCAGAACTGTATGTGCTAAAATACAGATAGATAATATTTTGCTTGTGTTTATTAAACAATTTACCTACCTCCAGACAGATAAAGGGCCAAAAACTGCTCTCTCCCAAGCAAAGAGACAATGCTAGTAGAGAAGGTCCATAGCACATACATGTTGGTCAACATGTGAATGATGGAGTAATGGCTGAAAGAAGAGAGAACCATGGGAAGGCAACGTGTCTCTGAAATAAAAACAAAGCAGACTGAAGGTTGATGGCAAAACCTACAAGGAACATCTCGCCAAAAATGGTGGTTACACACAAACCAATGGTGTCTGTCAAAATAAATACACTTAAAGCAATAGTTCACCCCAAAATTAAAATGCTGTCATTATTTCCTCACCCTCATGTCGTTCCAAACTTGTATGACTTTTTTCTTTCTTCAGCAGAACACAGAATATATTTTGAAGAAAGTTTCCACTGTATTTGCCCATACAATGAAAGGCAGTGGGATCCAGAAGAACATTGAAACCCGGTGACTTTCATTGTACAGACAAAATAAATAACACTGAGATATTTTCTGAGTACCTTCTTTTGTGTTCTGCAGAAGAAAGAAAGTCATACAGATGATGAATTTTCATTCTGGGTGAACTATCACTTTAAGAAATTTCTCAGTGAACCACATTGAACGACTCTCAGCACTCACTTACTGGAGGCAGGGTTAGATGTGAAGTACTTGACCAAAGAGCGTTGCATTGAAGGCATTCTCCAACAACACAGAACCAGAGTGTTTAGAGCTATGATACCTAAAAAAAAGATGATAATGGGGTGTGAACTTAAAGGCAGAAAGCAGACTATAGTTTGGACCTACAGAAGAGGGCTTTTCACCCCGGGTCATTGTAAACCCTGGTTAAACACTGCTTCACTTTCTTTTTTGTTTATTTAACAGGGACATTGCAAGAAAAACATTGCTATAATTTCAAGCAGCTGATGCTCTACATACAGGCTTCTAGCCAAAAGCTAAATTGCAGCCCCAATCCATAGTTAGGCTTTAAAAAAACTAAGCAATAATAACAAGCTGAGACTGTGTACAACCATCAATGTTTACAAACCTGCCTTTTTTTAAGGTTTCTTTGAAAAATGCTCCACTTTGTTTGCATTTTCAGTTAAACTATTATATCCAATTCTGATTAGTTGCACCTCTTACTACTAGGTTTGGATATTAATTGGCATATGATATCTGGAGCAAGATTGTTTATACATTTAAAAACCATTTTAATTAGAGACAATTGTATAACCGTTTCAAAACTAAGCAAACAATTTTTTTCTGTAAAAGATTGCAATGATTCCACCTAATAGATTTCTTGTCCACAATTGATAGTGTTTGTTTATATAAAGATCTAACAGGTTTAATAGTCAATTGAGCAACCAGACTCCAGACAGTCACACAATAAGATAAATGTGAGAAGACCACTGCATGCATGTATAACTTTCCCCAGGAACTAGGGACTTTTGGGGTGGCACTCGGTGTGTTTCGACTGCACGGACAAGGGTCTAAATGAAGATCCGGGTAGAAATTCCCCCCTCAGAAAGTACCTGCTCGCGAGGTAGTACTTTTTCAAAGTTCAGGAACTTTCAGGGGTGGGACTTAGCCGCTGAACATGCGGATTAATTGAGTTATTTTGATTGGTTGACTCCACACAGCATTTTATTTCAACCACCATTTTTAAAAGTCTTTAAGATTAAAAAATATGCGACCTATGGACTGACGACGATTAATCGCATCCAAAATAAAAGTTTCTGTTTACATAATATATGTGTGTGTACTGTGTATAATTATTTTGTGTGTGTATATATATATATATATATATATATATATATATATATATATATATATACATGCATGTATATATTTAAGAAAAATGTGTTATAATTATATGTAAAATATTTATAAATTACGTATAAGAATACAGTATTTACATGCAATTGTTTCAATACATGCATATGTGTGTATTTATATATACAAAGTAATTATACACTGCACACACACCTATATAATGTAAACACAAACTTTTATTTTGGATGCGATTAATCGTTGCCCAGCACTATATATATATATATATATATATATATATATATATATATATATATATACACACGGTCTAATCATAAAATAATTCAAGTTTTTTCTGATAGTTCTACACAGCATCTTTACATGCACATCACATTTTAATAGAGAATCTAAAATAACACCTAGATATTTAAAATCATTAACTGTCTTTATTGCCTTTTGATTAAACTTAATTATAAAACCATTCACATTGCTTATAATTTCCCCAGGGTCAACAATTAATCCTGGGTATTCATGTGCTGGCGTTTCATACTGTACATCCCTACTCCCTGGGTTAATACCCTTGTTTGCATATTTGCAGTGTCGGTGTCACGCGATATGTTCACATAACAGCTCTAGCACTGCATATCTATCAAGTTTTTTATTTAAAGGATTAGTTCAGTGCAGAATTAAAATTTCCTGATAATTTACTCACCCCCACGTCATCCAAGATATTCATGTCTTTCTTTCTTCAGTCAAAAATAAATGAGGAACATTTTGAGGAAAACATTCCAGGATATTTCTCCATATAGTGGACTTTGCCATTTCAATGCAGCTTCAAAGGGCTCTACATGAGGAGTAAGGTTCTTATCTAGCGAAACGATCTGTCATTTTCAAAAAAATAAAACATTTATATACTTTTTTAACCACAAATGCTCGTCTTGCACTAACTGGGATGCTCCAATAATTACGTAATCCCGTTGAAAGGTCAAGCGTGATGTAGGCGGAAGTACTGAGTTTACAAAGCGAACGTGCAAAGACTAAAGGTTTTTCGCCCTACCCTACATTTTCCGTGATGCACACTTTTTCAACGTGATGACGTAATGCGTGAAGTCATGGAAGAGCAAGACGAGCATTTGTGGTTAAAAAGTATATATTTTATTTTATATATTTTATATAGAAACTGCGATTTGGACCTTCAACTCGTTGGTTCCCGTTGAAGTCCACTATATGGAGAAAAATCCTGGAATGTTTTCCTCAAAAAACCTTAATTTCTTTTCGACTGAAGAAAGAAAGACATGAACATTTTGCATTGCACTCCGGAGCAGGGTTTCATAACACTAGGTAAAAAGTGTTTGCAAATCCCACTTTTTAAAGTGTGAAACGTTCCTCAACTCGGGGTTAAAAGCAGTGTTAAGAACAACGATAACCCAGGCTTAAGCGCAGTGTAAAAAAAAAAGCCCTAAGCCCCTAATCATATACTGTATTTTCAATGTAGAACTGACCTGTGACCGTCTTTTGTCCTTCACTGAGCCCACTCCACCAATCATCGACCACAGACATGACCAAAATCACCTGCTTCTGGAAGTGTGACAGTTGATTCCACCAGTTATGCCAGTATGTTGTGTTATGACCCTGCACAGAATGCAACCGCAGTGTTATGAACACGACTGGCAATTTTTCTGGTCTTATAAAATTGTTCTACACTGATACCTCTCCGAGTTTATCCCGCTTCTCCTCTTTGGCCTCCTCCATGGCCATTCGCACTCGTGACTTTACTGATTCATACTGCAAGATGGCAGCCGTGCCGAAGGAGCAGCCTGTAAACTGAAATGGTGTTAGAACAGCCTCTACAGAAACCAACAAATCAACATTTGACAAGCTGAATAAAGAAAATATGTATGGTATGTTTTCAAGATGGCTCTCATCTCCATAATGAGGTTCATTTTTTGACCAAAAATGTTCATGACTCCTCCAGTCAATACATGACCTACATTAGATTTCTGTAAAATGGCTTCTAAAGAAATCCATAGAATACTGGATATATTATCATTTGTAAGCCATATATTTTGTAAAATGATTTAGTAGCATGCAAATGTCTCCAACGAGCCCCGAGTCAAGAATTAAAAATTCTTATCAACATTTAAGATTTGACTTATTTCCATGACTTTTGCAAACCTGAAAGTCACAATTTTAAATGTAATAATCACATTTCCAGGTTTCTCATGATCGTGGTGGTAAGAAGAAAGACCTACCCCCACTGTGAACACCAGGGGCCTGAAGAGTCTTTGTGGTTTCCTGGGTGGCAGTGGCATAGGGGGCACCGGTTCTCCTGGCAGGGGTGGCACAGCATGCTTTTGACCCGCCTCAGTCTCCTCTTGCAGACCTCTTTTTGTCTCGGATTGTCTCTGAACTTTCTTGAAGCCACATCTTTGCTGAGGATGGATGGTTAATCTACCAAGCAGATTGTATATGTTTTTAGCACCTTTCCCATGTTCTACCGTCTTCCTGTTACATTCAATTTGACCTTTAGGTTGCTATCTAGTGTGAGGACAGTATCAAAAACGCTCAGTGGAGCAAAACATATCGGCAATAAATATACACAACCACGAGAAACCATGAGAGACAGCTTAAAGCACGTTTAAAAAACTACTACAAAACGGTCATCTCAACATTGGAGGAGAGTGAAAAGTACTTCATGTCATTCTTAGCAAAGCGTGACAACTACATGCAAGACTCTGGTAGTTACCTGGAGCTTTTTGGAGACAGGAATTGTGCATATAGCGAGTTTATTTTGGCCCGTTTCATAAAGCCACCCCTCCATGCCATGTCCCTGGTTTGCCGAATGCACTGCAGGGTCGGGACAATGTTTTGTAAGACGTCTTGTTTTCGCAACGTCAAGAACCACGTGGTACAACAACGCGCTTTGACTTACACAAACTTAACGTACAAAGATTCAAACCGAATGTGTTTGATAAAATCATAAAAATGTTATAATTATTAGATTGAATTGCAGCCCGTTCACAATCTGATACAACTCGAAATTAATATTACAAAACAAATGTTCAAGGACGCTATAGCTGCGTCATGTCTGCGCAGAAACAACCACATCAGCACTGAAGCCCCATCGCCCCGCCCCTAATACTTTTCAACAGCATAACTCTGTTATTTTTATTTATTTATTTTGAGTTATTTATTTTTGTCTTCCAACTTCTACTTATTTAGTCGAACATTAATTTATTACTTAACTAATTAGCAAATGTAATAATAATAAGTATTGTTATTATTATAAACACAGCCGTACAAAAGGAAAACGTTTTTTTTTTATAGAAACTGATTCTGTTCACTAAGGTAGAAAACTGGTTTTGTTTCCTATTGTTTATTATTTTTTATGTGCCTACTTTAAAATTTAATTTGTAACTTTGATGGCAAAATGTAAAGCGTGAGAGAATGTCTACTAAGAAAAAACTGAATTATATGATCCTTAAGAAGTCACTGTAATGTGGAAATTTCAGAACACTATTATTATATCCACAGACCACAGTTGAAACGTTTTATGAAAAATAAATGCAATTGTAAGTCAAACACATTTCTCCAGAAACTCAGCCTTGTTCTTTTGAGAGATGAAGATACTGTCAGAAGAAAGCAATGATGGACCAGCCAAACACTGCATTAGTTAAGAGAAGACACTGTTAACTTGGCCCTTTAGGCAGTTTCTATGAAAAAGCCACATCTGACACTGTAAATCAGCCTTTCTCAAAGTGGGTGCCGCGGCACACTGGGGTGCCCCCTGACTGTGTCAGGGGTGCCGCCAAAAAATTACGTAGGCTAAAAAATAAAAAAATCTGACATTTCATATATAAATATATTTACATAAATACATTCTTCTTCTTTTTAAACATATGAACGTATTAATAAAATTGTAAATTAATTTTAGATAAATATATACGAAAATATATACGGAAAAAAAACGGTGTTGCCTACACCGTGTTATCCTCTTTTTAAAATTTGCACCCTGTTGACTTAAACGGGGCAAGTTTTAAACCTGCTTTTAGCCTCTTAACAACCTTAATGTGTCATTACAAGTGCACAGCCATGTGAGTGAACACGGTGAATCTGACTGCAGTAAATGTGAAAGATATGAATAAAAATTATGTTTATTCAGCCAGCTGCTCACATACCCGTATTTTCTTCCTGTGTTCGGTCGAAGTCCACAGTAGGCGATTGTCGAGTGCGCGCGCGCGATCATTGGTAACTAAGCAACAGTGGAGACTCAGACTGTCAGCTGTCAGCCGATGACGGTGCTGTGTGGTGTTCTGAGAATATTAGCTCAAATGGATAGTTCATCCGAATCAGATGTTGAACACACGGAGGAGGTTTGATCGCGCGGGCGAACTCGACAATCAACTACTGTGGACTTCGACCGAAAACAGGATAAAGAGATTATTCCCTGCCTTCGTGAAAGCTCGGATCACAGTTAAGACTGATATATCAGCCCAGGCATCCACGATCCCTTGGCAGATAGTGGCGTAAATCGCCCGGCGCTGTCTCCCCGTCTTGGTGAACGTATGTTCACCATCCGTATATAAGGCGCTCTGGATTATAAGGCGCACTGTCGTTTTTTGAGAAAATTAAAGACTTTTAAGTGCGCCTTATAGTGCGGAAAATACGGTATATAAAATTAACCATAAAAATCCATCTCACAAGACCGAAGCAAGACACACACACAACTTGACGCAAATGACGCAGCGGCAACCCATAGCGACGCGTTATTATAGCAACAACACCTCAGACTGACAGAAACGTAAAAATAAACGTGAATTTAGGCCACTTTAGTTTTGTACACATTGTCATGTTAATTATAAGCAAATAATTTTTTTTTATTGACCACAATATACCAAAAGGTGCTATAAAATTGTTATTATTATTGTTATTGTTATTTACAGTTCGTATTATGCTCTGTTCATACTGTTCTGTCTAAATAAACAGGACATTTGCATTTACATTTGGGTTATGCAGTGTTTTTAAATTATATTTTACACTGGGGTGCCTTGAGATTTTATGCACTTTTGAAAGGTGCCCTGACTGAAAAAAGTTTGAGAAAGGCTGCTGTAAATAACAATAAAACAAGAAGAAAATGGTAGAATGGGCCAATAAATATCGTAAAGATTAGACGTTTTTAAAAATAATTCTATGGGAAGTACAGACTGCAATTAAGGGTTGAAACTTCACCTGAACATCATACAAAGACTGCTTTTACATCATGCTAATTTCTGCATATCAAGGATCTTCAATGAACAGAGATTTTTCTTTTTCGTTTTAAAAAGGGTTACACTTTATTTTAAGGTGTCCATGTTACAGTGTGATTATTATACATTTAATGACTGAGTAATAATATAGGGTTAGGATCATGTTTTGGTTTAGGGTTAGTTGCATGTAATTAATGCATAATTTAGTTACTAATAGGTTACAGTAATTGCATGTAATGTTTACAAGGACACTGTAAAATACAGCGTTACCAAAAAAAAATTAACTGCTGATTTTTTTTAATGATCAATTTAATGCATCCTTTGTAGGCTAAATAAATGGGCTATTGTTTTTATCTCTCTAATATAGGCTATCCTAGTCTATTTATCAACACTATGCTTATGTTTCGTTTTACAAATGTGCGAAATTACGATTTACAAATGTCTGTGCAAAATAGACCTTACTTACTAGGACCTTTTCACTACCTATTTCTCATGTTTATTTTGAAATAGGCTGTTCTGCATGTGGATTGCATGACATCACGGCTCCATCAAAGACCACCTGATCTAAAAAAGGAGGGGAACCCACCACGAGAAGCTTCGCATCCTGACGGTACCTCTGGCGTGAAGATGGCGGTCCCAGCTCCGAGCAGCCGGACCGGATCCGTTAGCAGCCTGGGGAACAGTCCAACCTCAGCACCGGGAGGCTTAAACAACAACAACAACCACAAGCTGTGGTGCTGCCACGAGCTGGACTTCAGGTCCGGAGTGAAGATCGAGGAGCTCAACCGACTCATCCATGAATTCAGCAAACAAGACCAACGAGAGTATGATGACCAGAGGGCACTGGAAATACACACCGCCAAGGATTTCATCTTCTCTATGCTCGGTAATAGCATCTTCAAACCTATTCATATTTTCTTCAAATAATCAGAATTGTTATTCATTAGGCCCATCATTCATTTTTATTCTGTTTTATTAAGTGAAAAATAATAGGTTATCTGGTATAATGGTATGCTATAAAGATGGTCAGATACTGTACCAATAATATTTTTTTCACCCGTATTTCATATGTAAGAGGTTTTAGATTAAAAGATTTATTAATCTAGGTTATACAAATTATTTTAACTTAATTTGCATAGGTTGATCATTGCTGATGGTGTGTTACAATCTGTATAGTGCTTTATGCTTTATGCAACATCTTAGCATCTTACATTATCCAAACACTGAATCCATTTTGGTCTGTTCTTAAGCAGGATTATGTTTGACCTCTTGCAGAATAATTCCACAGTAGTCGGATGAATGCATGCCCCTAATCTATATTTGAAGGGATCAGAATGATTATGTCCACATGTTGAATCCCTCTTACACATGAAAAAGTGAATACCTTTGACAAAGAGCAGTGTATGGACAGAGCAAACACAGTGCATAAATTGATAATGTATATATTGTATATATTGGGGTTAGTTTAAAAATAAATGTGAATGACTTGAGTTCAGTTACAATTTAATATTTATTAAAAGCTTTGGATAAAAGCGTCTGCTAAATGAATAAATGTATATATAAAATGTAATAAACAAGCTGAAAAATGTATCACTAATTACAAAAAAATGATAAATTACAGTACAATAATTTCATGTTTCTATTGTGCAATTACTGTATCAATAACTTAAACTACAAGACGTTCAGTCCTTATTAAAGGGGTAGTTCAACTAAAAACGAAAATTCTGTCATCATTTACTCACCCTCAAGTTGTTCCTTGTGAAATTCCAATGAATTTCTTTCTTCTGCTGAACACAAAAGAAGATATTTTGAAGAATGTTTGTAAACAAACAGTTGACATGCAACCATTGACTTCCATAGTATGTGAAAAAAATACTGTGGAAGTCAATGAAGCCCATTAACTGTTTGGTTACCGATATTCTTCCAAATATCTTCTTTTCTGTTCAGAAGAAACTTGAGGGAGAGTAAATGACAGAATTTTCGGGTTTTTTTTGGTTGAACTATCCTTTTAAACACCTCTTTTGTTACCTTCAGAGTATGTGTGTTTATTTGTTAATCTTTTTTTTTAATATAACTAGTCCTACATGTCTAAAAAATAATTGTATGACTAATCTAAGACCGATTCTTTAGAATTGTGGATATTTTTACAGAAATTCAATAGCCCTGTCCAGCACTGGGGTTATTTCCAGACTAGGGGGAAGTTGGTGTAAGGAGGCATTCAGGCAATTATGGGAACCCATCCATTGAGGCAGAAGTAATGTACAGCTTCCTCTCATTCTGTTCTCACACTTTCACTCACTGCCATTCACTCAGCTCAATTCAGAAAGCAGGAGGCTGATTGGCCTGCAGTGTCTGTGTATGCAAATGAGACAGATGGAACAAAAGTGACACTGCATCCCTTTGAGAGTTGGAATCTCTGTGGGAGACAGATTTAAAGAATGATGGGTGGAGGGATGTTGGAATAGTTTGGGTTTTTGCTAAAAATCAGGGGGAATTGTAGGAAGGAAGATTTAACTGGGAAAGTACTAATGCCTATTATGAGTTGTGTGTGTGTGTGTGTGTGTGTGTTGTAATAAGTCAACTTTTCTACCTGTGTAAAATTATATCGGTTTCTCTCAGCTGTTTACTAAATTCCTTTGAATTATACTGCCATGAAAAAAGTAGTTGAATGGCTTCAAATCATCAAATATAAATTTATATTAGACGATGGAAACCAGAGAAAAATAAACCATTCTTTTAAAATCATTATTTCCTTAATTTTATTTGTAAAAAAAAATGCATCAATTACGTATATTGTCCCTGTGAAAAAAGTAATTGTCTCCGTAATCTGGAAACCATCAAAACAACTTCATTTCTGTAAAACAAATGCAGTGTTCCACTATAAAGAATGACATTCTTATAGTAAAACATGATGGTAACAGTGTGATTAAATGGGGATGTGACTTTTTATCGTTGAAGGAAGTATTCATTATGCTGTACGCCAGACAATTCTTTAGGAGAATGTCAGTGCATGAGCTGAAGTTTATTTGGATGATGCAGCAAGACAATTATCCAAAACACCAAATCAAGACAACTTCTGAATGTCTGAAATGAAAAAACAAAACAGTTTGTGCTGCCCTGCTTTTTGTCATTAGAAAGTGTTAGGAGATATTAAAAATATACAGTACATTTACTGTAGAAATTTACCATAGTGAGTGCTTCCAAGGACACTGAGTCAAACTGCCCCATTCAGGGAGCAGCTATAAATATTTGAGTGCATCCCCATCCTCAATGGGGACAGATGAAAGCTCAGCTTGTGTGAGCCTGGATGCTTAAGAACAATCAGACATGCTTGAGAACATTAAACCGCCAGCTGCATCCTTGCTCAGCAGCAACTCTCTGTGCCCTAAAAGCCAGTAGGCACACAATAGAATGTGAACAAATGTGAATGTTACGTTCCTCCTCCTTCCTGATGCTTTTACCTTGTGCTGCTGGTGTCAACTTTCAGGTCCTCTTATTGATCCACTGGAAATAGACGCCAAAAGAAAGTGCTCTGCTGTCTTCATCAGTGAAGAGGAAGAGCTTTTGGTCATGTGACAGAAAGCTTAAATTGTTCAATGTTATGTAATTAATCCTATATGTGGATAAAAAATGTACATGAAGAGATAATAACAACATCACATTCATTGCATGAACAATCGAGGCCTCTTAAACATGACAAGAGTAAAAACTGATCATTTTCATAGTAGGCTATAGTATAACATAGTAGAAACAAATGCATCCTAGACAACAAATGACAGTAACACTACAATAAACTTCAATTCATTACCATAAGTTAATCCATTAAGTATGATGAACTAACAAAGAACATACATTTTATTTATCTAGGTTAATTTTAATTTATATGAATACTAGGGTTTACAAAATACATGATCGTCCTTGTGGTGCCAAACCACACAAACCATATGTCCAACCAGACGTGTTCAAGAACTTGCAAATGCCTTGGTTGAAGAGTGGAGTAACATCTCACAGCAAGAACTAGCAAGTCTGCTGCAGTCCATGAGGATGAGATGCACTGTAGTACTTACAGTAAAGCAGCTGGTGGCCTTACCACATACTAACTGATATTTTTTATATTGACCCCCGCTCTTTTCAGACTCATTATTCCATTTCTGTTTGTCAAATGTCTGTGAAATTTGTTTAGTCTCAGTTGTTGAATCTTTTTATGTTCATACAAATATTTACGCATAATAAGACATTTTGCTGGGGAAAAAGCAGTTGAAAGTGGGAGCTTTTTTTGCTGAATATACATATTCATAACCCAACTAACATTACCTCAGGAAGATTTAGCCAATAAAGTTTTTAGTTAATTCGTTTTTTAGATTAATGAAAAGCATCTCTGTAGAGAATCATATCACTAAAATTATAAATAGTTTTGAAAAATATAAAGTTTGTCCAAAATGATTAAAAACGTAATAATTGATGGCAATAATGAGACCGAAGTGGAGTCGTGGTAACGAGCGTCCGAGGTGGAGCCGGAGGGAAGGCAGAGCCAGACGGAGCCGGAGGTGCTGGTAGGACGACGTCTGACCAAGGCGTCGATGCAAGGAGGGACGATGCAGCCCAGTGGAGCTGTAAGGATGATGGTTTCTGGTGGAGCCAAGGGAGGGAGGAGTTAAAGCAGAGCCGACAGGTCACCAGGCCGAGGCGAAGCCATGGGTTCAGAGGCTGGAGGCGGAGCAAGGGGATGAGATGGTGGCCTGAACAGCCGAGGCAGATTCTCAAAGTTATGTGTAGGTGGAGATGCAGAGGTGCTGAAGGGAACCAGCAGAGGTGGGGCTGAGGAACTGGCTGATTTGGGAACAGGAGGTGGGAGAGGGAGGCTGGGCGGGCACTCAGGAAACATATGAAACTCTGGGCTGTGCAGGACCAGGGGGGAAACAGAAAACTCTCGGCTAAGTGGGACCAGTGGGGAAACAGAAAGCTGGGCGGGACCAGCAGGGAAACGGAAAACTCTGGGCTGAGTGGGACCAGTGGGGAAACAGAAAGCTGGGCGGGACCAGCAGGGAAACGGAAAACTCTGGGCTGGGTGGGACCTGGGGGGAAACAGAAATCTCTAGGCTGGGTGGGACCAGTGGGGAAACAAAAAACTCTAGGCTGAGTGGGACCAGTGGGGAAACAGAAAGCTGGGCGGGACTAGCAGGGAAATGGAAAACTCTGGGCTGGGTGGGACCTGGGGGGAAACAGAAATCTCTAGGCTGGGTGGGACCAGTGGGGAAACAAAAAACTCTAGGCTGGGTGGGACCAGGAGGGAAACAGTAATCTCTAGGCTGGGTGGGACTAGTGGGGAAACAGAAATCTCTAGGCTGAGTGGGACCAGTGGGGAAACAGAAAACTCTAGACTGGGCAGTACTAGCAGACAGGGGAATTACCTCCTCAAAAGATCTGAACAGTTTCCAGTGGCCAGGCAGAACTCATTCCCAGCGGCGTGGTGGTGGACGGGGCTCCTATCCATGCCCTCGAATTCCATTAGTATTCCCTTGAGGACGGGGTTGTTGTCGACTCACGCACCTGGTCAGATTCTCCATGTGGTTCGTGCTCCGGAGCGATGTCTGGCGCAGTTAGTCTCTGGCTTGTTCATTGCGGCAGGCCAATCTCCACAGTCTGCGGTGGAATTAGGCTGTGTGAAGGCTGACTGGGATCTGAGTCTGGAGTGGGACTGGTGTTTTCCAGCGGGGCAATGGTGAATTCCGAGTTGTTATTCACCAGTACCCACTCCACACATGTGGCGAAATCCTTTCGTGGACCACTCCCTAGGAGGCGTGCCCTTGACCTGGCGATGTAGAAAACGCATAGCGAGCGGTCTGGATAGTGAGTTATGCCGAGTTCACACTGCACAATTTTCAAAGTAGTCAGGTCACTGTTCTTTTCACACTGCGCGACTATCTGGGGTAGCATTCAGTTGTTGCTGTGTGCACACTGCACGATGGATCAGCAACAGGAGGTTTCACACTGCATGACTTTACAAAAGAAAGAATCGTCGACAACTTCAGTCTGGTCCACAAACATTTCACAACCAAACGCATGCAAGAATTGATAAGGAAATAACGCAAGATCACGCATGCGTAAGACTGGAGTTCTTGCGCGAGACTGGAATTGTTATTAAAAATGATAGCCTGCAAGAAGATTGCGATCCAAATTGTCCGTGCGCTGATTTGCAGCGAAAAGGAGAAATGGAAAAACAGATTATGCAGGAGGAAATGGTTGGGGAGACGCAGGGAGCAAGGATTGTCTGTTCTGCAAAGAGAGTTGGGGGTAAATAAATAATTTTGCAATGTGCTGCTGGTCAAGCAAATGTTTATGCTTTGTTTCCCGCTGCCCTGTATCTTGCTCTCTCATTGGCTGTAGGTCATCACCGATGTAGTTTTCAGTCAGAACACATTCACACAGCAGGATTTTGAATCGCACGATCGGTGATTCTCTCAGATTGCGTTTTTGATCATTCACACTGTGTGATTGTCACTCACGTGAACGAGCACCGATTTGCCTATGATTTCAGGCATTTGTCTGCGATCTCCCAAAACCTGTCGGCGAGCAAAAATCCACTTAATTGGTCCAATCTTCTGTCATGCGGCTGTAATGAGCCCAAGACGATAGAGTATCAAAACAAATAGTTTTTATTTTAAATTCACAAGGAAAATCAAGAGATAAACAGAGACAACAACCACTAAACACAGACTAGATTGGACAAAGAACTGGAAAGCACAGGGAGTGCTACTTTTTCACGACAAGGATTGTGCTAAAAATGGAAATGTTTTTTTTGTTTTTTTTTACGTGATGACAACGAAATTTCATCTTCACAAAGCCAGAACCATTTCACTGTAATCCCAATTTTAGAATTTTCTCCTCTGATATAAAGTCCTTCGAAAACATATATATCGTCCTTGAGTCTGTTGTGGAACCTTTCATTTTTCATGACGACAAAATGTTATAATTTGTTGATTTGTGTAATTCTTATAACCATTTGTGATGATGTACGTATTTTCTCTGTTTCAGGCATGGTGCAAAAGCTGGACCAAAAGTTGCCTGTTGCCAATGAGTACTTATTGTTGTCCGGTGGTGTGAGAGAAGGTGTGGTGGACATGGATCTGGATGAGCTTGGCATCTATAACCGTGGCTCTGATTATGACATGGCCTTCACCCTGTTGGTTCCTGCACTTAAGCTGCACGACCGGAACCAGCCTGTCACACTGGACATGCGCCACTCAGCACTAGGTCATTCTTGGCTCAGCTTGCGACTTTTTGACGAGGGTACCATTAACCGTTGGCGAGACTGCTGCACGCTGACTGACCATCTGAACGGCACCACCAATTACTTCTTCTCGCCCACACTGGTAGCTGACTGGTTCCAAGAAGCTGTCGGACTGGTGCTGACGGAGTTACAGCGCAAGCCACAAAGGGGCACCCCAAGGGTGGACCGGGTGGAGCGTCACAGCACGCTGCTGTCTATGGTTTTAGGTGTGGGCAGCAGTCGCATGCTTTATGACATTGTTCCTGTGGTGTCTTTTAAAGGCTGGCCGGCGGTTGCTCAGAGCTGGTTGATGGAGAACCACTTCTGGGATGGCAAAATCACAGAGGAGGAGGTCATCAGCGGCTTCTATCTGCTGCCTGCCTGCTCAGTCTCTGGTTGCCAGGAAAACGAGTGGCGTCTCTCCTTCGCCCGCAGCGAGGTGCAATTGAAAAAGTGCATCTCACCAGGCCTCATGCAAGCTTACCAGGCGTGCAAGGCAATAGTTGTAAAGCTGCTGGCTCAACCCACAGCTATCAGTCCCTACTACTTACGCAGCATTATGCTGTGGGCCTGTGACCGACTACCTGCAAGCTATTTGTCACAGGAAGACTACGCTGCACACTTCCTGCTGGGTCTCATTGATGACCTGCAGCACTGCCTTGTCAACAAGACCTGCCCTAACTATTTCATCCCGCAGTGTAACATGTTGGAGCACCTGTGTGACGAGACCGCCATATTTCATGCTCGTAAGCTAACGCTGGTACGCTCGGATCCGGGCGAACACCTGCGCTCCGTCATCGAACAAGCCAAGGCGGCCAACAGACTGACGCTGGAGATGCAGCGTCGCGGGAGTTCCTCAGGACTGCCTTCTCCGCTGGCAGATCCTTCCTCAGCAGATCACCAGCAGCCAGATGACCGCTTGGCCAAGAAGCTACAGCAGTTGGTGACCGAGAATCCAGGCAAGTCCATCTCTGTATTCATCAACCCTGACGACGTCACGCGACCTCACTTCCGTATTGATGACAAGTTCTTCTGAAAACATAGGTCTATTTTCGGTTTAACCCAAAGGGGTGTGCATGGCACTGTCCAGAAACTGGAGCTGTGTCCTTGTGCCTGCTTACATCAGACTGGAGAGGATCTTCTGGAGGAAACGACTGCAAGAGGTCTATAAGACTGGCCTTACTGAGTGGAAAATCCCAATTATTTGCACCTTTCAAGGGATTTCATATCATGGTGACTCTGAGAAGAAAAGCTGTGTAAGTCTAGCACATTCTGGACAATGATTTACATAGTATATGAAAATATAGCATATGTCCTGTAGATGGTATTGTTATTCTGATGAAAATTCTGTTGTAACAAACAATAGAATCAGACATGTGTTTTGCATCTGTGCTGACTGAGACGACACATTCCCATTTCCGTATATCACCTCTTTATGTTTGTGGACAATTAACATATCTTGTTATTTATTTAGAGGAAGCAACAAAAAAATATGTCAATAAAAGCCAAACCTTTTCTATCTATAGGTGATTTAAATCATATTCCTTAAGTGCAATTAAAAGAATGTACGTTAATGCCCAGTTAGAGTGAGGTTCTTGAATTGACAAAAACGTTCAACTATAACAATGCAGAATTGTCTAAAGTGGGGGTACTTGACTTAAAGCCCTAAAAATGTTGCTGCTATTGGAGAATAAAAGGATGTTATTTTGTTTTTGAAATTATTGAAAGTGACTAGCAGCTATCCAATATAAGCCCACTTATCACTAATGTTAAAGGGATAGTTCACTTTTACTCGCCCTCAAGTTGTTCCAAACCTTTATAAACACAAAGGAAGATATTTTGAAGAATGTTATAGCCAAACAGTTGTGGGGCACCACTGACATAGAATTGTTTTTTTTCCATACTATGGAAGTCAGTGGCAACTGTTGGTTACCCATATTCTTTAAAAAATATCTTTGTGTTTAGCAGAAGAAAGAAATGAATAAAGGTTTGGAACAACTTGAGGAGTTAATCAGTTAATGATGATTCATTTTTGTCTGAACTATTCCTTTAATTGTGTCTCAAAATAAAAAATACAGAGTAGGGCATCAATCGTGTAGTTTGTACTGTACCTCAAAAAATCTAGCTTGCCTGTGTTGTTCCTCCAGTAAATAAAGAATTGTGCATTGTTTTGAAAGCTGTTTTGGTTTGGAACTTTGATTTTTTTGCTTGGTCAAAATCAGTCCTTTAAAATTGTTATTTTTGAATGTAAATGATTGCATACGTAAATAATACATAACGCAATAAATATTTGAAGTCATTTATATTTAGACAACAGGGCATTTGAGCTATGCTGTAAGCACAGGAAGGAATCATGTGCATCATGGAAGTAAAATGTATGTGGCATATTTATGTATCAACTTATGTTACATATGTAAGCAGATATAATGGTGTATTTACGCTTAAGAATATTGTGTAATTACAGGAATATTGAACATACACTGGGAACAAGATTTGCTATACCCCAATGTCCATTTACTTTCTCCATAATCTTTTAATTAAGGATAGATTTTCCAAATCTTCAAAACTTTGTCTAGTCTCTTATTATTTAGTAAAAAGTTAATTTTGGCCTCATTACTTGTGTATTTTCCTTTGAACTTGACAATACATGCAAGGGTGCAAAGGCTTTAGATTCCAATAAATTTGCTGATTTTGATAGTTCTACATCATATTCGTCACCACTGGACACCGCCATGTTCTCTGTACTGTACTGGACATACAGTGAACTCCACAGACACGCTGAGTCAACGCATTCAGTGACATAATATCCCAGTCTGCACCTTTCCACACAACCACAACATCCCAGTTCCTGATGAAGAACAATTGCATACATCTACAGCACAAATAGACACATCCACACAATGCTGACATGTGCTATTAAAGCATTATATACCCAGAGATTCTGTAAAAAACACATCTTTGAGAGGTCATTAAAATCGACCTTTGTGTTTGACATGACACTGTGCCTCTGATACCAGAACAGAACACTGAACTCTTATAGCAGCATCTAGTTCTTTTTTTAACAGCTGAGGTAACATTAGCCGTTATTCCCCTGTCCCTGTAAACTGCTGATGCTGCCGTTCTTCGCAGTTTGATCAATGAGATCATTACAATTATAGCATTCACATACATAATGGGGAAATATGAATGTTTGGTGAATAGAGAAGGTACAACATATTTCGCAGGGCTGTGTGACATTCAGAATTGAACCGAGAATTCAAATTGAATGAATTCATATGTCAATGTAATATATAATCCATAGATTCAAATTTAAATATCAATATTTATTTCTGTCTTTATTTCTCTATAGCAAAATGAAAATGTATTAATGGCGATTGTCTATTGATATCAATTGTGTTAGTTTACAGTACTGAACAGTTTAAAGAAATAAGCCTATTGAGGGAAAATATATTCTACATATCAGGGAAAAAATACACACAATTAGTCAAATGAACAATTCAGGGTTTGTGGAAAAATATGTATGGCTGTGCTGAATTTAATTTCCAATTCAACATCAAAAGCATGAATTCCTTATTCTTAAATTCTGAACTCTGAATATGTCACTTATTCGGTAACACTTTACAATAAGGTTCATTAGTTAACATTAGTTAATTAACTAACATGATTAACAATGAGCAATTGTTACAGTATGTATTAATCTTTGTTAATGTAAGTTAATAAAAATACAGCTGTTCAATGTTTGTTCATGTTAGCTCACAGTGCATTAACTAATGTTAACAAATACAACCTTTGATTTTAATAATGTATTAGTAAATTTAGAAATTAATATTAACTAAGATTGCTGTAGAAGTGCAGTTCATTATTAGTTCATGTTAACTAATGTAGTTAACTAATGAACCACTTATTCAAACATATGCTTGGTTGCATTCAGTTAAACAAGGTAATTATAACCAGATGCAGTAACTGTGCTGTGATTATGATTATTCACTCTTGGCAGCCACACAAACAAAGCGTTTCAGCACTACAGAAAGTGAACAGCTCCGTCGACAGCAATTCATTATTATCTCTTTCTCTATCTTTCTTGAACACACGTTCATGCACGAGTAGCTACTGTGCACTCCCGCCCTGTGTGTCCGGGACCCAAACTCTCTCATACTCATTCATCAATAGCGCTGTGTAAAGACTGCTCTGTGCTGCTCGACTACTGCGAGGTTCAGCACACTGTATCTGCCCTTTACGCATCCCGCAACAAAAAACGGCAACCACGAGAGATTCCTCCAAAACACCGCGCAACATGGATAAAGGAGATAAAGGTAAGAAACTTCCAGAGTCATGGACGTGTTTATTATCACGCCGGGATAGAGTGAATGCGCTTTAGGGGTGTTCGGGGAAAGTGGACTGCGGAAGTGTGCGGAGCTCAATGCAGTATTCGGACTTTAAAGCTTAGCGAACTGCAAAAGATCCGGTACATGTGGACATTCTGTTAGGATGGGATGATTTTTAATGCTGTGTAGTTGGTGTTGAGTGGGTAGATCAGATGACATATGAACATTAGCCTTGAGAGTGTGTGCCAAGATAAAGGCAGCGGCTGCTTTCCTTTCCTCCTGTGCAGATGCTGAGCAAATCAAAATCCTGTAAACACAAAACATCCACGCAAAGCACAAAACTCACTGTTTCGTTACTCGAATTAACTATAAGTTGACTTTTTTTTATTCCATAGTGTGATATTTCATAAATTTGAACAAGAGCTTTTGTGACTTTTTTTGTGTGAATTTATTTCTGTCAACCAGGGGCTGGGCCAGCTGCTCCTATAAAAAGTGCTGGTTGTCCTCTTTTTGGGAGACATGAATGTGTGATGTGGATTTTGTGGCACTGAGCCCGCCGATCAGCATGCCAGCATCCAAGCAAAAAAAAAAAAAGAAACTCTCTCCATCACCATGTGCACTGCAATGTTGTTGAGTGATTTATTGAAAGGCAGATAAGATAATCCACTATCAGTTTATGTTAAATCAAAAGGTTCTATTCTGATTGCACACACATGGTGAATGTGTGTTGATGTTAAATTGGCATATTACTTAAGCGTTGTGAGCTTTTGTTTTTATACTTTGACTGACTGCTTGTCCAAACAGACACACACAGGGAAGGTGGGGATAGAAATGCTGTGTGCATTTACACAGTGTAAAGGTTTTTTTTAGCTTCATTAATCCTGAAATCTTTCTGCTGACCTACACATCTTTTCTGTTTGTCCATCGTTTTTTTCATGAAGAAGTGCACTCCACACCTCTCCATCTTACTGCCTTAATATAGTTCTCTCTATATAGTTCTCTCTATTATATATTCTCTCTCATCTCTTCGATCCCTTCTCTTTATCCAACAACAATCATTCCCAACTCACATCATTGCATTTTCTATCTATCTATCTATCTATCTATCTATCTATCTATCTATCTATCTATCTATCTATCTATCTATCTATCTATCTATCTATCTATCTATCTATCTATCTATCTATCTATCTATCTATCTATCTATCTATCTGTCTTGTTGTCATGAGGCCTTACAAATGTGAAGCAAAAGATTTGTGACTGTTATGACCTTTTGCCTTTCACATCTATGAGTATGAATCCTGTACAGATGTGACTTTAAAAGTAAATCTATAATTCTATAAGTACATATAATTCTATTGAAGGGTAAGTTCACCCAAAAATGAAAAGTCTGTCATTACAGTTTTTCTCAGTCGCTTTGGTACATTTCTCGAATCATCCTCGACATTTGTAAAACAGTAAGTGCATTTCTCAAAACAATTTGTGCAAATAGCAAAACACCATGGATTTCCTGCAAAAGCCAGTCTCTTGTTCAAAATCCTTAGTTCATCTCTCAAAAGTAAATATCTGTGTCAATGAACATGTCAGTGCCATCAGAATGACAAGTCCTTGTGTCATTGTGTACGGATAAGACAGTCAAATTGCTTAGTCATGTTGTCAATATAACAGTGTCCTCTGGAGGGATGTTCTGATGTAAACTATGGCTAAAGTTTTGATGACAATTATTGTAAATTGTAGGTTACACACCTTAGTGTATGTGGGAGTTTGATTGCAAGAGACTGGACAAGATTCACATACACTTTTACAGTTTGTACTGTATTTTGTTGACAAACCGTGTCATTGCAATACAGAAAGGAAAAGACAGCACTGCA